TTCATGGGCAAATAAAAAGAAATTCATTATAAAAAAAGAACTTGATTAAGATGATAATGACACTGATTTTACAAGTGAAATAAAATTTGATTGCATTTTATTTTATATATTTTTATATTATTTGTCTTTTCTTTGAAAAAACCCACATTTGATTAATCATTCAGCTAGCTTACACACAACATTGAAAGAATATTTCAATGTAGTGTACATCAAAATAAATAATACATTTGTAGGTTTACTCAATAATTGAGGTCAATAATTTGTGTATTCAGTTAGGTGTGTAATATATTGTGTCTATTTAATTATGTAACAGGTCATGAGATATTAACTGTGGGGAATTAAGACTGGAGTTGATTCCAATTAATACTTACACCTTTGAGTGTAATTGTTTGAAAATCATGAGTTGATAATCATACTGGTATAGTATCAATAAAGGAAGAATTGGAATAATAGCATTTCAAAAAAGTGTGGGATTACCAACTTAGATATATCAATACACATCTTGAGTGACTCAAATTTTCTTCAATAACTTACACAGGCATAAGATACTAATAAAATACTTTCAAAATTCTTATCAATTGATTAAATTGATGTATATTATTTTTTCACATTAATTCATAAATAGTAAATTATTATAAATTTTGATTTAGAAAGGAACTATATGCAAGTGTATATCTAAAAAAAAGTCATTATTCGACCAATATCTTCTTAATTTAAGGGCAAATAACATGTCAAAAGTTGCTAGTTGATGATTAAAATGGTGTATAAAGTTTATGCAAGTCATAAAAACACATAATTAGTTTCATGATATGTCTTCAATTTACTATTCTGCACCATCTCCAAAAACAGAGTGATCAAATAGATCCAGCATGGCTGAATCAAAAATCCAGGATAGTTTATGAATCTAATAAATGTTTTAATAAAATGCTACGACCGCAGAGGTCCAACCCTGAACAGTTGGGGCGAAAATTGACACAATATTCGCGCTTGATACAGGTCTGAATTTGGATTGTAATTAAATATTTGACACATAATAGGTTTCTGACACAGAATAACTGTAGTCAGAGAACTTAGAATTGGTTATATGATTTGAATTTATATTCAATTTTTTGCTTTTGTGCAATACACTATGCTGTTGCGAATTGACCCCCACTCCAAAAAAAAATTTACCCCCGCTTTTTGTTGCTTTTGTGAAATACACTATGCTGTTGTGTATTGACCCCCCCAAAAAAAAATATTTGAAGAAATTTTCTTTTTAATTTCTGAAATCTAAAATGAAAAAAAAAATTGCCCCCCACAATTTCTTTTTTACCGTCCTCCCCCCCCCCCCCCCCCCCCCCCTTCTTTTCCAAAATAAAAATTCTTTTCCTCAAGATATGGTCATAATCTCAATTCAAATTTCCAATGGAGTTTGCAACCATAATTACAAATTTAAATACATCATAAAAATCTTAGATAATTTAAAAGCAGTGTAAGGGAGGTAACCCAACATTGTTCAACATTGTACAATTTTGTTTTTGGATTACCTCCCTTACACTGCTTTTAAATTGTCCATTAACCAGGAAACCCTTGTTTTCCCCCTTTTTTGCCCCTAATTACTAAACAGTTTGAGCCATAACCCCCAAAGCCAATCCTAACCATCCCTTTGTGGTATGGAAACTTGTGGTATAATTTCAGAGAGATCCATACCCTTAAACACAAGTTATTGTCTGGAAGTTGCAAAAATGCTTATTTTTGGCCCCTAATTCCTTAACTGTTGGTACCATAACCCCCAAAATCAATCCCAACCTTCCTTTTGTGGTATTGAACCTTATGATAAAATTTCATAGAGATCCATTCGCTTAAACTAAAGTTATTGTACGAAAACCAATGAGTTTTCGGCGACGACGCCAACATCATACAAATATACGACCGCAAAAATTTTTTGCGGTTGTATAAAAAATTTAACTGCAGACTGTATGTAATGTTAACTTGAAGAAAAAATAAGTCCATTTATAAGTAAAATATGTATAAACAAGTACAAAATTTTAATAAAAATTTCCTTCTATAGATACTAGCTTTTGATCATAAACAAACTTCTGTCCATGTTTGGTACAAATCCAGGATAGTTTGAGAAAGTTATTAAAATTTTAAAAACTTTAACCACAGAGTGAATGTAATGTTTCCTGGCAGAAAAACTAAGTCCATTTATAAGTAAAATACGGAAAAACAGGAATTTGTTTTTTACAAAATTTACTTCTGGATACTATCTTATGATCATAAACAAGCTTCTGTCCAAGTTTGGTAGAAATCCAGGATAGTTTAAGAAAGTTATTAAAATTTCAAAAACTTTAACCACAGAGTGAATATTTGTGGACGACGCCGCCGCCGCTGACGACGACCGAATGTAGGTTCGCTATGTCTCGCTTTTCAACAAAAGTCAAAGGCTCGACAAAAATCTGGCAAGAACTGTATGCCTGAGAGTGCTAACAAGACCGGACGGAACTACGAATGGATGGGCGCCAAGTATTTCTATGTCCCCTGCAACGCATTGCACGGGGGACAAAAGAGGAGTTTTCAAGATAATAGACAAAACTTTCATTTTACCTCTATGTTCTATTTTTAGCCATACCATGTTGGTTGGCAGGTGGGATTCATCAGACACATTTTTCAAACAAGATACCCAAATGATAATTTTGGCCAAATTTGGTTAAATTTTGCTCAGTAGTTTCAAAGGATAAAATTTTTGTGAAAGTTAACGAATGTAGATGACGCTGGAAGCCATGTGATAAATAAAATGCTCCGCTGGGTGCAGCTTGATACGACCGCAGAGGTCGAACCCTGAACAGTTGGGGCAAGTATGGACACAACATTCAAGCTTGATACAGCACTGAATTTGGATTGTGATTAAATATTTGACACAGCATAGGTTTCTGACACAGAATGAATGTGGTCTAAGAACTTAAAATTTTTTAATTCACCTATTCAAACCATATCATTATTATTTGCTTTTATATATAAATCAGAAATAACCAATTTAAAATGGAAAATTTTAAAGAAAAAAAAGGGAGAAAAAAATCCCCCCCCCCTCAAAATTTTTTGAACCCCCTTATGATTCATCACCCCCAAACTCAATCCTAGCCTTCCCTTTGTGGTATGGTACCTTGCAGTACAATTTCAGAGAGATCCATACACTTGAACACAAGTAATTGTCTGGAAACTAGAAAAATACTTGTTTTTTGGCCCCTTTTTGACCCCAAATTCCTAAACGTTTTGGGCAATTACCCCCAAACTCAATTCCAGCTTTCCCTTTGAGATATGGAACCTTGTAGTACAATTTCATAAAGATCCATACACTTACACACAAGTTATTGTCCGGAAAGTAGAAAAATGCTTGTTTTTTGCCCCTTTTTGGCCCCTAATTCCTATAATTTTGAGGCAATTACACCCAACATCAATCCTAGCCTTCCCTTTGTAGTATGGTACCTTGCAGTACAATTTCAGAGAGGTCCTTACACTTAAACACAAGTTATTGTCTGGAAACTAGAAAAATGCTTATTTTTGGCCCCTTTTTGGCCTCTTATTCCTAAACGTTTGTGGCAATTACCCCCAAACTCAATTCCAGCTTTCCCTTTGTGATATGGAAACTTGTAGTACAATTTCATAAAGATCCATACACTTACACACAAGTTATTGTCCTGAAACTAGAAAAATGCTTGTTTTTTGCCCCTTTTTGGCCCCTAATTCCTACAATTTTGAGGCAATTACCCCCAAAATCAATCCCAGCCTTCCCTTTGTGGTATGGTACCTTGCAGTAGAATTTCAGAGAGATCCATACACTTGAACACAAGTTATTCTCTGGAAACTAGAAAAATGCTTATTTTTGGCCCCTTATTCCTAAACGTTTTGGGCAATAACCCCCAAACTCAATTCCAGCTTTCCCTTTGTGATATGGAACCTTGTAGTACAATTTCAGAAAGATTCATACACTAACACACAAGTAATTGTCATGAAACTAGAAAAATGCTTGTTTTTTGCCCCTTTTTTGGCCCCTAATTCCTAAAATTTGGAGGCAATTACCCCCAAAATCAATCCCAGCATTCCCTTTGTGATATGAAACCTTGTGGTACAATGTCAGAGAGATCCATACACTAACACACAAGTTATGTCTGGAAGTTACAAAAATGCTTATTTTTGGCCCCTTTTTGGCCCCTAATTCCTTAACTGTTGGTGCCATAACCCCCAAAATCAATCCCAACCTTCCTTTTGTGGTATTGAACCTTATGGTAAAATTTCATAGAGATCCATTCACTTAAACTAAAGTTAGAGTGCGAAAACCAATGTGTCTTCGGACGACGACGACGACGCCAACGTCATACCAATATACGACCACAAAATTTGTTTGCGGTCGTATAAAAATTGGCTCACTTAGGCTCATGTAAATGCCTCCTTCTTTAGAAATCCTAGCTACCTCAAAATCACTGAACAAGAGAACACAAATGAAAACAAAAGAACCACATAACTGTGACGGGATTGCTTCCCTTAGTACTTGTAGTAGATACTTAGACAGCCATAAGCGGTTGAGCTAGGGAAGTACTTCTTTAGCTCAGTTGTAAAAGTGCTGCCTTGTAACACAGATGTCCCAGTTTCGAGTCTTGGAGGAGATAAGGTGATTTTGTAATGAAGTTCATGCTCTCCAGTTACATTTGGCACCCAACTAAAAAACCCACAGTGGTCAGAGAGGATTTCTAGCCAGGGAATGTGTTGTTTGAGTCATAATGGTATGATGACTCATGAGACGGGGAAAGTGTGACAGGATTACTTCCCTTAGTACTTGTAGTAGATACTTAGCCAGCCATAAATGTTTGAGCTAGGGAAGTAACTCATTAGCTCAGTCGGAAAAAGTGCTGCTTGTAACATGGGTTCAAGTCCAAGAGGAGACAAAGTGATTTTGTAATGAAAATCATGCTCTCCAGTTAAATAACAAACATAAAGAGTAAAGATGAATGAAAATAAACACATTAAGTTTATATTTTTACTTTATGCATATTCAACATTTGCCCAGCAAAGACAAAACATACAAAACAAAACAAATGAATTATTTCTACATTCGACAAGAAACATGTTATGCATTTTTTCTTCTTTTTTAACAAAATCTTAATAAAACTTATTAATGATATCATATTAACAAAAATATATTTGTTCATTTACAGATTACCTTTTTGTATTAATTTGAGTTTGGTTTTTTAAAGACTTCTATAATAGCACAGATATAAATAACAAAGGACATTTTCTTAAATATAAAATATAACTTGGTAGCATTCTACCCACATCTAGTGTAAATCTAATGAAGGTTTTTTTTCTTTTATGTATGTTCTTGTTAGTTCTACAAACAAGTTTTTTTCACTTATATTTTTTTCACTTAATATTTCATTCTTCAAAATTGGAATCATTAAGAAGTTTTACTTAAAAAAGTTTTTATAAGAAATTATTTAAAAGTGTTTTTTTTAAGACATTTTTTAAAATGTAATAAAAAACATGATAAAAATGTATATGGATGCTGATAGAATAACGATATAAATTAAGATATTGCATTTTTGTATAGCTTTTTTTGTTCTAAATCAAAACACACATCTCACATTCTAGCAATCTCATTCAAACACACAACCAGCATAGTGGTTACCATAGATACACATAGAAAGTATTAACAATTTTTTTGAGTATATTAAATAAGTTTTGTGTATAAATACTGGACTAGCTTATAAATACATAATATATACATACAATTGCAATAACAGTCAAATTTGTGCCACAAAAACAGATATTACAGATTAAAACTAATAAACCACATGTTAATACCAGATTCTAACAAATATGGCAGTGTATTATAAATATTTTTAGGGAAAATACTATTCATATTTTATGCAAATGGATCATTTTCAGCCAAAAGTTAAAATGGTTTATTGAAATACAATCATGCCAATTCAAATACAATTCAGCATTTACTTATTTATGGTTTTAACATGAGAAATTTTTGAACATTTAAAAATCAAAAATATGTTTTATTTAATTAAATCTTTAAATTTGATTTAATCTACCTTTACACACTGTTTTTTTTTTTTATTGAAATTCAGAAATTTACACTATAAAAGTAGGAATAATTAAAATTATCTCCCTTTTTACAATTGCACATGAATACATACACTGATGTCTACAACTTTATTTTAAAAAAAGCCCTCTTTCAAAAAATTGCACAGGAAGACATGCTCAATTTAAAACTGAACAACCACTATTTCAAAAAAAGAAAATCTTATCTGTTTTTATGGCACAATCTATTCTATGAGGTATTATAAAGTAAAGGTCTTTATTTTGACAAATGTTAGTTAATATCTTTGGTGGCAGCATGGCATTAAAAACAAACCAAGTACCCTCTAGACGACCTTGAACATAAATAAAATAATTTAATTTTAAGACATCCCTGATGTCCACAAATTTTACATCCAATGAGACAAAACAAATTCTCAAAATCTTAAGCTAATGATATCTGCAATTTGTGCACCATTAAAAGCTTTTGAATTTTACATCTTTGAGATCTCCCCTTTAAATCCAGCCACGGAAATGACACACAAAATGCAATAAGCTCTTATATCACAGTGAAAAAAATCTACATCTTTGGGGAGCATCTCATTACATTTGGAATGAGCCATGAATGGCAAAAATTGAGTATACACATTAATTAAGTAAATTATTTTTGTAATAAATATTTTGTATATTTTTAATACACTTATTGAGTTTGCATATAAAATGATTGGTTAATACTGTACAAAATGAACTTTTCCTTCACCTTTTACTAACAAACCATTCCATATAAAAAAGGGAAAAACTAGAAATTCATATTCAAATAAAATAAACTTGTCACTTTTTTAAAAATTATGTGCAATTAAAAAATAATTTGAAAATCTAAATAATACAAATGACTTTTTGTATAAAGTTACATTAAAAGTATGTAAAATTTTTGCCAGATCTATAAAACGTGGTAAGAGTAAATAAAAAAAACAACCATATTGACATTGTGTTAAACAATTAAAAATCAATAATAGAATAAATGGAAATAACTTCTTTTTTTTCTCATTAAAATTAAAACTCATCTCGATCAAAACCATATAAATATTATACTTTATCAATAAAATATTAAATCTATATGTTAAATTTTTCTTTCTCATCAATAAGCAAACAGTATTATGCCAATAGTTTGCTTGAATATATATATACTTCATCTTTGATCTTAAAATAACAAAACAAAAAATAAAGACATTCAAGTATTTCCGTTCCCATTAAGTTCATGTGAAAGGCATCCGTTTTTTTAAGAAACACGAGAAAGCGTTGACACAACTAACACAGCGCTGGACATCAACAAAATCTGTTCCCACACTACCACTATACACAAGACGAAATACTTTTATCATATCTATTCTTTCTTTATTTTTCTGTCTTTCCAATATTGTTATTCCCTTTATCTAACACTGAAAATAGAACAAAATAATACTTGTTATTTTTTGTATATAAAATAAACACCATTTAAATACCAAACAAACAACAACATTTTACTTTTATCATTAACAAAAATCTTATTTTTCTAGCACTGTCTTTGAGCAGGCAGTTAGAATTATCTTTGGCTAAATTAAAGATACCATCATTAATTGAATTGAAAACAATCTTTAGTTTATTAATCTACCGGTAATTATAAGTCTTTTAAAATTTCACTTCATGCAATTGATTAGCGTTAGTTTGTTAAAAAGATACCATGAGTCTGGATCTCAATTTAAAAACTAATATAGTATCATACAACTTTCAGTTCTGAAAATATGCTATAATATACATAAATTTTGGTTCATAATACCCCTTATTCTTGGAAAAGAAATCACTTTTTATCTGAAAATTCAAATATGCTCTCTTGGCAGGGATAGGAAAACTTTCTATTCCCTAAACAGTGGACAAACTGGGGATTTTTTAATTAGACAACCTTGCATTTATCAATACAGTATCCGATTTAGATTGAAGCGGGTTTGTATGGGGGCCCCTTATAAAAGAAAATATGGTTCATGCACAGTGAAAACAAAAATATTGAAAATGCACTTTACATATTTCACTTCTACCTGATAAAAAAAAATGGGGGCCCCTCTTTTTTCAAAAACCTAAATATACCACTGCCATTGCAGTGGTATTTTTAGAACAGGTTTCCTTACATAAGCAGCTACTTTATGTGCTACCTAACAGTACATCTAACAAACATAGATTTTATCAATACTGATCTAGCAGAAACAAAAGGTTTACATGCTCCATGCAATTAATAAATCAGGAATAATGTAAGTAAATTGGTAAGACATTTATTGATGTACAGATGGTTCTCAAGGGTAAAAGTTGCCAGATACCAGTTTTTCTTAAAATAACATTGCATATATATATATATATATATTATATCTACAAATTATAATATTTCTGTAACAACTGGTGTTGATGAGTTATATGCAAGTCATGAGAAAATTATCCCATAAATAATGAAATTAAAATAGCAATTTCTTTGGTGGGACAAAATAAAGTTTGTAATAATGTTTTAATTGCATAGTTCAAATATTGTCTCTCTTGATTTTTTATTTATGATCTTATACAAATTTATTTTTCCTATTATTCTATAGACAATAGGCCAGCTTATATAACCACTTAATTTCATGCCATATCTGGTTGGTCTTTTTATTAACATGTAACTTGTAATCCAACTCAAGTATAAACAGGTACATTTTTTTTACTATTCTCTTATAAAGGGAAGTAACTCATAAAACAAAATTCAGAATTCAGGAAACAAACTGCTAAAAATAGTCACTAGTAAATGTGATTTTATTTGTATCTAATTAAGAATCTGAATTGTTAAGAAGACATTGTTTGAAGGTCACAATGGTTATATCAAAGAAAATCTTTACATTTTTACAGGAAAGCCTTTCCCAAATATAATTCAATGACAACATTGGTAAACCCAGAGCAGAGCAAAAACAGTAAAAACCAAAAAGATAAAAATAAAGACTTAAATAGCTAAATGTAAAATAAAATTGAATGTAATATTTTGGTATTCAAAGTATCCGTTAAGATACTGTAATGACTTTTTAAAAATTGTATCTATACATGTAATTTTACAATCACATGATGCCAATGTACTATTAAAGGAAGTATTACGTGTGAAATAGTATAAGCTGTGACAAACAAATCAACAAATGTGTTCAATAGTACGTGAGAATTTCTTAGGACAACCCTTTTCCTCTATTTTTACAGCAACAAATAACGAAGTGATATCAAACATGTAATAATTTCAAATAATGTCAAAATAACACCAATCTGTACATATTAAGTTAAATGTGATGTATGTAGGGAAATTGTATCTGTACACATTTAGTAATGCAGGCATATGCTGGAGATAAAAAATAGTATACACATTTATTACTTCATACTTTGACCTGACGGTATGAGCATGGCTGCAATGGCTAGGTAATTAGTCATGTTCTATTAAAAAAGGAGATTCTCTGCAGACATTACTCACAATTGTTCAGTAACAATTTTTTTTGTGGGCATTAATGAGACAACAGTCTGTGCCAAAAACTTTTCCAGCTACAAGCTTGAATCAGAAATTTCAACATTTTTCCTACATAATTAAATAAAATTTCACTAAATTTTCACTAGCCTGAATCGATTCATGAATCGATTTTTACTAGACTCAGGCATAGGGCTAGTGGCTAAAGGCACAGACTAAGACGATTACAAATAGGTATTACATTTAAACTTTTCTTGAAAAAAATGTCCACAAATTACATAACCATCTGAACCAGGCTCAAATTAGGTAGACTGAATGGAGTAATACATTTGTAGTAAGGTGGAGTATAATATCATTAGATAACAGAAAGTTATTGGCAGTTTATATAAAATATTGAACAAGAACCTGGCTGAACCTCTGAACCTGATTTCTTCCTTCACGATTTCCTTAAGACTGGATGGATCAGTTTGAATTCTGCACTACAGCTACAGCAATTATTGTTGGAAACAGATGGTATGAAGTAACAGTTACTGTAGACTTCTATTCAAGAGAGGCGTAAGATACCAAAGGGATAGTTAAACCCATGAGTTGAAAACAAACTGGAAATGCCATGGCAAAAGAGGAAAAAATTGACCAAAAGACAAACATGTTACAGTCCACAACACAGAACATAGAAGACTTAAGACTAAGCATCATGTTCCCCGAACCCATTTAAACAGGCATTGCCAAGCTGTTTAGACACAAAGAATCCAGAGTTATATCTAATAGCTGCAAGGCTGTATTAAAGCCAAGCCATTCACACTTCCACCTATCTTCAATCTTATTGTGGAAAGAAAATGTCAGTATAACATACATGACATATTTCCCAGGAGTTACATATACCTAAGACCTTCTTTAAAAATTTCCCCACTACATTCTTGAGTTTTGATATAAATTCTGGAAAAGGGCCCAGAACACTCATAATTATAATTACCCAGTAAGAAATATATCAAGAAGTTGTATAGCACACCACTATGCAAATTTCACAAAAAAAAACTATACATGCCAAAGGTGATGGGCCTGTTGCCTGCTGAGCCTACTATGTCAAAAATTTCAAGCCTAAGCAAACCTAGTCTCTACTGCGAAGAAAGCAACAGGAGCAATTATGCTGTTATCCATTTGTTCTCCACATGCATCCTAAAACTTTGGAAACTAGAAAAAAGAACATGCCAGTTGACAAGCAAACTAAACTTAGGAAACCATTAATAAAGTAGGCTAAAGGCATGGATGCATCATACAGTTTTATACCTTTTTTACTTGGATTTTTTTTAGGAATATCAGAATTCATTCTGGAAATAGATAAGAAATGAGTTAGGGTAAGGAAAATACAAAAGTTAATTAAAAGCACATTCAACAATTCTGCAATGCCTTGCAAAAGGTGAAACCATTTAAACTATTCAATTGAATTTCCAACTGTTACTTTTTTTAATTGATAATAGATTTTAACTCTATATTTTTTTGTAAAGAAACATCTTACTTTGAAGAATTCAGATAAATATACTATGGATTAAGTTATTTTCCTGGGTACCAATTTTCATGGATTGAGGAAATAAAAGAAGAATATGTCTGAGGACACGAATGACTCGCTCAAACTTTGCAATTTTCAAAGTTAAAAAGGGGCATAACTTTAGAACGGTAAATGACTCACAACCCAAAAAACTAAATCTGAGTGTTGTGGTTCTTAGCATTGTGTATGATTTTCATAAAATTTGGATAAGACAAACTAAAGTTAGAGTGCAGAAACTACAATGTAAAATGGGATGGACAGAAGGATGGATGGAAAGACGGACGGACAGTCAAGTATAAAACTTAATGCCCCCATTGCCTACGGCATCATTAAAATGTATTTTCATCGACATTTGATTTTGTGTTTTTTTGCCAAAGTCTGCATATAAACCTTTAGAAAATTTTTACTTTGTTGATTATTTTAATTCATGGTTCATTCAAACCGATGAAATCCACACAAATTATTTGTATCCCACGAATAATAATAATTCCTCAGAATATAAATTACTGTCCACACCTTCTACTGCCCTTCTAAAATGTTTTAAAATTGTACAAGTATCAAAGTTGCAAATACAGCTGCCTACATTTAGTGGAAAGTTGTACATTGTCTCATTAATGCATGGTTAAGGGCCTATATAGTGGAAACTTAACCAATAGTGATCTTACCCATGAGTACCATGAATGGCCTGTGAATATTTCTCAAAACTCTTATCCATATATATCATTGTATAATTACACATATTTTTATTCATATTTATAGTGCATGTATTTATCAAAACAACAATAAAATAAATGTGTTACCACATGAACTTATAACTTAAATGCAAAAAAAAGACATTTACTTTAGACAAATTTAAATCTGCTTTCACCTTTGTTGTTGGATAATTGGTTTCCGAGCTTTTTATGCTATAAGTTTATACAGAATGACTGATGGAAAAGGTCAAGGTCAAGGAAATATCTCACTCTTAACCTTAAGTGTGGTCCAAAATGTGTAACCAACAGAGTTAAACAGTTCCCCTAAAGCGCTACCATAATCCTTTTCTTGTATTGTTTGTTTTGGTTTTTGTGGAGGGGTATGTTTTTGCATTAGTTAAAATTCTTGGTTGTTTTTACATTTGAACTTTGAAGGATGGTTCATATAATGGCTAAGGCAATGTTAGGTAAGACAAGAGAAAATCTTTTATAAAAATCATTAAATTATACTTTAATTTCAGACATGACAGACCACAATCAGATACAGAAAAAAAGCTAATTGGCCTTCAAATAATTTGGTTATATTTCTAAAGAAAACAAAAATGACCTAATAGAAAGTTTGATTTGTATGAAATTCAAGAAAGCTTATTCCATCTTCTTTGAAGAAATTTGTACGTAGCTAGTTACAAGCTGTTACTGCAGACAATTTCCCCTGATCAAAATGGACTGTACACGTGTATGCTAAAAATATATATATTTAACACGCATTCCTATTGAATGAGACGTAGATTAGTAAACTCACTCTATAGGAATCTAATAATATTGATACAAATGATGTGTGCATATTACATACTTAACATCACAAATCAATAATAAATGTTATTTTTCATTTTTGCTGAATTGGTGATTGACAACAATTTATATTTATATGTTTCCACTTTTTATCTTTATTAGAACATTTTTTTTCACATTTTCAGATTTTTTATCTACAAAATTGTTAATTACAGAGGCTGATAAAATGTAGTAAAAATGGACAGTTTAAAATTTGGGTTAGCCTGCAGGTCCAAGGCCTGGGTCTGTTAATCTAAATTTATCTTGATCCTTAAAGCATTGTTTTCTGACCTTGACATCACAAAACTGTACATGTATCTAACGGGCAAAGTCTTCATCTCATGGCAGACTATGTATTGCCCTATGTTTGATGAAGCCTGGAGCTTTAGAGCATACAAGTTTTAATGCTATGTAACAAACATGTTCTTGCATATGTACCTTGACCTTTGATGTCAAAATCAAATAGATTTCAAACATTCCTGAATCTCCAAGGAGCCAAGCAGTGAACTTATTAAGTTTTGATAAAATATAACATTAGCAACTTAAATTGTTATATGTGATGATGGGATGAATGATAACATTACCTTATAAGAGATGAAATTTGAGTGCACAAATGAACATTTATGAAATCAATGAATACAATAAAAACAGCTGTTCAATAAAATAAAAGTCTTGCATAAGTTTCATACACAAGAAAGAAAAACAAAAGAACATACAAGTAAACAGCACATCAATATACTCATTTAGTGCAGACTGAAGCCACAAAAAGCTAACAATATTATGAAGTTGTACATACTGTTATTTCCAGAACATGGATTAGAAAGATTGAAACAGGCCTAGAAAAGGGAGATAATTTCAAGAATCATACATTAGCCATACAAATCACTTCTTCATATGTTATTCATGACACTGTTTTGATCATATGTTCATCAAAATTTTAACTTGTACCTCCCAAGGATAATTATAATCACATTTCACTTACATGTAAAATATACTACTCACTAGCTTATCACAATAAATGCAAGCTTTCACACACCTCTAAACGTCAAACAAACTAGTCTAATCTCCAAGCATAAAGCTACCATAAACTCCTCAAGTACATGTATCAGGTCAGTTGGTTTAGGGAGTGCAAGGTCCTTTAGGCGGGCCATTCATAATAAGGCAGTAACTGGTACTTTTACCCTTCTGTACTGTGCTACTGATAAGTTAAAGAACTGCCTGAATTTCAGAATTTTTATATAAGGTATTCATGAAATTAATTGAAAAGTTCCACCAAAAAATGGTAAAAGTACCACAAAATGAAAGATAATGAAATCCCTGTAAAGTACACTATACAGCAACTTAATGCTCCAAGTTGGATGGTCTCTTGTGCCTAATGATGACACTATAGAAAATCAGGTTCTAGCATTATTTTAGGTAGCTTTACACCAAAATACAAGACTTACATTACTTAAATATTTTGAAAAACAAAGTCAAAGATCTTGCATCCCTTTAAGTGAAGTAATGCTTAGTACATGTACATGTAGATGAGTATAGTGATATGCACATGATAATCCAAAAAAAAAAATCTGTGAACTACTGTTAATTCAGAAATTATTGCGAGGTAAAAAATCTTATTACTGTGAATAATTAATGCGACTGGGTACCGGTGAGTATCGAAATAATTATAACTTGCATTCTGATATCGAATACATATAATAACTGTATTCCGATTTTCATAAAATCACAATAAACAAGAATGTGTCCATAGTACACGGATGCCTCACTTGCACTATCATTTTCTATGTTCAGTGGACCGTGAAATTGGGGAGAAAACTCTAATCTGGCATTAAAATTAGAATGATCATATCATAGGGCACATGTGTACTAAGTTTCAAGTTGATTGGACTTCAACTTCATCAAAAACTACCTTGACCAAAAACTTTAACCTGAAGCTGGACAGAGGGACAAACGGACAGACGAGCGAACAGACGAATGGACACACAGACCGAAAAACATAATGCCCCTCTACTATCGTAGGTGGGGCATAAAAATGTAGAATCTTTCTTTTTTTGTTCCACAATTGCAATAATCATGATAATGAATGCACGCAATAATTTCTGAATTAACAATATATTTAAATTAAAGAATGGGTGGCCAGGGTATGTATTATACACTACCTTCATGCCTTGTGGTATGAGTACTGATATTATTTAGAAATTACAACCCAAGCATCTTCCCTTATCAGAAGGTGGCTTTAAACAATTAATCAAAGATCTAAAATATATGTTCACTGACCCCTGACTTTAGAACCAATAAATGTTCCAAGTTATTGAGGCAATAAGGTCAATAGCCTGCTTATCAGATCAATTATTTCACATCAACAATTATTAACGGAAGCATTAGCATTTTTATCAGAAAGGAAATACACAATAATCCTCTTGAAATTTAGAATTAAGAAAACAAAGCCATCTGGAAAGTCTTGACTTGTATACACATGGTGGATAACAGAAACAATGATGATTCAAAATAGGAAGAATAGAGACAAAACACTGGTACCCGACTCTTCACTTGATCTTTAATAACAAGTAACACTGGTTACTTACAATTTTGTCTTCGTGTTGCATGCACACTGGTTGCCTAAATTTGTCTTCCCTTAATTACTTTACTGTGACTGAATAAGGCTTTTCTTACAAATAGTAAAATGCTTACCAGTCCAATAATTCACTGACTACAGACTTGGGAAATGATGAATTATTGTTAAGCATGCAAACTGTTTGAAGCCAAAATCAAAACGTTCAACTTCATAAACATGATAAAACACTTAATAGAACTTCCTTTGTTTGAAAAGCCTTCAGGAGGCAGCTGACATACCTGTCTCCAAAAACGTTTAGGCCATTCAAAAGAAACCTGTAACACATGAATTGTGTGTGCAAGTTATAACAGCCATAACAGCCAACAGAATACACAATTTGACTCGTCCAATTTGCACATTTGTCTTTATTTTCTGTTTCTTTTCATGTTCATGCATTAATTTATGAATTTCTTAAATAATCATTAACTGTCATAAAAAAATGATGAATTCAAAAAGCACTCTTGTTGGCGATTCAAAAAATTTCCTGCTATGATTGTGACTGATTTACTAGGAAATGTTTCTATGTAGATAGTGTACAATTGTAGCATTTTACCATTTATATTAAAAATCAAGTATGGTGATGCTGAGGAAATCACTGTGAAACAGAACGATTGAACATTATATTATTACACACTGATTTACAAATGTAATTATGGTATTGACATATACTATCTTTTGATAACAGAAAGAGAAACAAGAGTGAATCAATACATACAATCATCAACATTCACTGAGAAATACCACCATCATGCATGTTTAAACTGAATCATTTCAAGTGCATGTATATGTCTGTAAAATTGTCTTGCAGCCCTGACTTTCATTAAGGATTTGGACTTGAGAATATATTTAACCCCAAATTTACAATTGGAATAGCAGCATTATTGCTCTAGACATGGAACTAGCATTTTTACCTACCTATTTCTTCAAATAATAAATATATTCAGCAGCCTACTTTAATAAACATATATACATGATATATGTGGTTCAGCCTGTGAATGAATTATTTTTTGCTCCATACACGTATCTGCTACTAAGATTTTATACAGAAACACAACTACATGTATATAAATGTATATATACATATGTATATGTGGATACTAAAACGTACATGATATCAATCTGTATACATATGTACAGTATACATTTAATTTGTGTACATGTATATACACATACAACATGTACAATAAATAAAATGCTTCGCTGGGGTGCAGCTTGATACGACTGCAGAGGTCGAACCCTGAACAGTTGGGGCAAGTATGGACACAACATTCAAGCTTGATACAGCTCTGAATTTGGATTGTTATTAAATATTTGACACAGCATAGGTTTCTGACACAGAAAGAATGTGGTCTAAGAACTTGAATTTTTTTAATTTACCTATTATGGTCCAATGTCCAAAATAAAAATACATGGTTAGATTCAGCATATCAAAGAACCCCATATTTTCAATTTTTGTTGAAATCAAACAAAGTTTAATTTTGGACTGCAACTTGGACAAACTTGAAAACTGGGCCCATAATCAAAAATCTAAACACATGTTTAGATTCAGCATATCAAAGAACCCCAATAATTCAATTTTTGCTAAAATCAAACTAAGTTTAATTTTGGACCCTTTGGACCTTAATGTAGACCAATTTAAAAAACGGGACTTAAAATTAAAAATCTAAATACACGGTTAGATTTGGAATATCAAAGAACCCCAATAATTCAATTTTTGATGAAATCAAACAAAGTTTAATTTTGGACCCTTTTGACCTCAATATGAACCAATTTGATAGCGGGGCCCACAAATAAAAAATCTAAATTCATGGTTAGATTCAGCATATCAAAGAATCCCATATATTCAATTTTTGTTGAAATCAAAAAAAGTTTAATTTTGGACCCCAACTTGGACCAACTTGAAAACTGGGCCCATAATCAAAAATCTAAACACATGTTTAGATCTAGCATATCAAAGAACCCTAAGAATTCAATTTCTGTTAAAATCAAACTAAGTTTAATTTTGGACCCTTTGGACCTCAATGAAGACCAATTTTAAAAAATGGGACCCAAATTAAAAACCTAAAAACACGGTTAGATTTGGCATATCAAAGAACCCCAATAATTCAATTTTTGATGAAATCAAACAAAGTTTAATTTTAGACCCTTTTGACCTCAATATGAACCAATTTGAAAGCGGGGCCCACAAATAAAAAATCTAAATACATGGTTAGATTCAGCATATCAAAGAACCTCATATATTCAATTTTTGTTGAAATCAAACAAAGTTTAATTTTGGACCCCAATTTGGACCAACTTGAAAACTGGGCCCATAATCAAAAATCTAAATACATGTTTAGATTCAGCATATCAAAGAACCCCATATATTCAATTTTTGTTGAAATCAAACAAAGTTTAAATACTGGACCCTATTTTGGACCAACTTGAAAACTGGGCCCATAATCAAAAATCTAAACACATGTTTAGATTTAGCATATCAAAGAACCCCAAGAATTCAATTTTTATAAAAATCAAACTAAGTTTAATTTTGGACCCTTTGGACCTCAATAAAGATTAATTTTAAAAAATGGGACCCAAATTAAAAATCTAAAAACACGGTTAGATTTGGCATATCAAAGAACCCCAATAATTCAATTTTTGATGAAATCAAACAAAGTTTAATTTTAGACCCTTTTGACCTCAATATGAACCAATTTGATAGCGGGGCCTACAAATAAAAAATCTAAATACATGGTTAGATTCAGCACATCAAAGAACCTCATATATTCAATTTTTGTTGAAATCAAACAAAGTTTAATTTTGGACCCCAATTTGGACCAACTTGAAAACTGGGCCCATAATCAAAAATCTAAATACATGTTTAGATTCAGCATATCAAAGAACCCCATATATTCAATTTTTGTTGAAATCAAACAAAGTTTAAATACTGGACCCTATCTTGGACCAACTTGAAAACCATAATCAAAAATCTAAACACATGTTTAGATTCAGCATATCAAAGAACCCCATATATTCAATTTTTGTTGAAATCAAACAAAGTTTAATTTTGGACCCCAATTTGGACCAACTTGAAAACTGGGCCAAAAATCAAAAATCATGTTTAGATTCAGCATATCAAAGAACCTCATATATTCAATTTTTGCTAAAATCAAACAAAGTTTAATTTTGGACCCTTTGGATCTTAATGTAGACCAATTTGAAAACTGGACCCAAAATTAAAAATCTAAATACACTGTTAGATTCGGCATAACAAATAAAATCAAAGATTTTACAAATCTAATGCGCCATACTGTGCAATTAAAGATTTCTTCTTGAAATTTTTCAATATTTGAAATTTGAAAAAAAAATAATATTTGAAGAATAATTCTTTTTAATTTCTGAAATCTGAAATGAGAAAAAATTGACCCCCCACAATTTCTTTTTACCCCCCCCCCCCCTTTTTTTCCCCAAAAAAATTCTTTCCCTCAAGATATGGTCATAATCTCAATTCAAATTTCCAATGGAGTTGGCAACCATAATTACCCATTTAAATTTACCATAGTGCTAACTTAATCTATTTTATAATAGAATTAAAAATATAGTGTCAAATCTTTCATATGGATTTTTTTGTAAAAAAAAAAGATGCAACATTTGCAGATATTTTTACTGGTCTTCCTTTATAAATATGTATTTCTTTAAACATAATTTAAAAGCAGTGTAAGGGAAGTAACCAAAACGTTGTATTTGGATTACCTCCCTTACACTGTTTTAAATTATCTTTATTGTTCATTAACCATTACTTTATACATAATTTAAAAGCAGTGTAAGGGAGATAATTTCAATGATGTATTTGATTTATCTCCCTTACACTGCTTTAAATTATGTTTTGTACTAAAGTATTTGTCCATTAACCAGGACAACCTTGTTTTTCCCCCTTTTTTGCCCCTAATTCCTAAACGGTTTGAGCCATAACCCCCCAAAGCAAATCCTAACCATCCCTTTGTGGTATGGAAACTTGTATTATAATTTCAGAGAGATCCATACACCGTTCCACAGTTATTGTCTGGAAACTAGAAAATGCTTATTTTTGGCCCCTTTTTGGCCCCTAATTCCTTAACTGTTGGTACCATAACCCCCAAAATCAATCCCAACCTTCCTTTTGTGGTATTCAACCTTATGGTCAAATTTCAAAAAGATCCATTCACTTAAACTAAAGTTAGAGTGCGAAAACCAATGTGTCTTCGGACGACGACGCCGGACGACAACGACGCCAACGTCATACCAATATACGACCACAAAATTTTTTTGCGGTCGTATAATAAACCACTTGTGCATTGTTTATTTACTATTGCCTATCCCAATTAGTGTTAAACAATACCCAAATTAGTTAAATCTTTTTTATTCATTTGGTTAGTTTTCAAAAGAATTTGGTTTTTAAGAACTCCATGCTTGGTTGAGGTATATATTAATTCAGACTTTCAATATCAAAAACATTATTCCAAGATAGAGATTTCAAGCAAACAAATTTTTTATTAAATTTTACAAAGAATTGTTCGAGAATTATTTTAGAAATTTTAGATATTAATTTTATCAGAAATGAGAGATGATGTTATAAAGCTTGGTAAGGATCTAGAGTGAATTTCTAGCTAGCGCCCAGAAACCCAAGGACCATTCTAAAGAGACTAACCCTTTATCAACTTACCCTGGGGCCTAATAATCCCTCCTGCTATGGTATGATCGGCCAGAAGCCCGACCATAATCTTCATAATGTGAGTTGTGGTTGTGACTTACTTTGGAAGTCCCCATTTTATTGCGCCCGCCTTGTCTACGCATATTCCGTCGTTCTCTGTCAAATTCCAGATCTTCCAACCTCTGTGTAAGGGTAAGTTTTTGTTGAATTGCCATTCGTAACAATGAATTTAATGTCTTCTTCTCTTCCTCTGCGCTTGCCAACTGTCTCTGCATTTCATCCAGTTGTGTGACATATTCATCACAACGCTGTGCAAACATTGCTCGCAAAGATGCAAATGTGGCTGCATCTTCTTTCAATGCTTTCAGTTCATTTCTCAGCTTCATCATTGTCTCGGTGACAATCACTTTTTCAGTGTCATATTTTTGTTTCAGATTAGCTAAAGCTACTTCAGCAGTTGATTTGTTTGCTTTGAGCACACTTCTCAATGTTGCTATTTGTTCTCGTTTTGTCGACAACATGGCTTTCAGTTTAACAACTTGTTCCTGTAATTCCTGAACATCAGTATTCTCATTATCGCCATTACGTTGCCGTGACACTTCCATCAGATGCTCTACTGCCCTCTTCAAGTATTTAACCTGATCGATGACGGTTTCCGTAAGTTTGTAACATGATATCGGATCACCCTTTATATCATCGAACTGCTTCTTAGCTTTTGATTTGGTCTTCCTTGGTGATTTATCACCGTTCTTTTTAGCGTTAGGATCTTCTTTCTCTTCGCTACTACTACGTGAACCATCTCGAGACAACTGTGCGGCAGCTTTGGCATGATCAAGCATAACTCTGCTAGGTGTTTCACCGTTCACTTCACATACAAGATGATAAAGCTGAGCCATTTCTTCTGTCGCCTTCACAAGTTCATCTTGTGTTGTATTCAAACTTCCCTGAGCCTCAGAAGCAGCCATCGTCATGGCTTTCAAATCTTTCTCTAAGTCTTTTATCGTATTTTCATACTGATTACATTTATTCCTAAGGTCTTCTAAAGCATGACCGAATTCTTTCTCATCATATCGAACAGTTCCGTGCTGACCTCTTGCTTGAAGGTTGTTGATCTCATCATTTAGGCTACTTATTTCAGAAAGGGCTTTGGAATATTTCCTTTCATTAACACGGAGATTCTTTTTCAGTTCCAGTAATGATTTCTTATCTGGATCAGTTTCATTGGCTATTAATTCATCTAAATCGGTTGAATCATCATCCATGCCAAGCTCCGTCTCTCTTTCCTTTATCACAGAATTTATATGAGATTTCAATTGATCGGCACGCTTCTTTTGTTCTATAAGGTCCTGCTGAGTGTCCTCAATCAGCTTTTGAGCCTCATCTAAAGCTTTTTGAATTTCAGCCTTTTCTTGTTCACTTTGATCTAAAAGCTGTTCTAATTTTTTCACCTCATTCTCTTGAATTTCACTAAGAATGTCATTCACTTTACCAGGACCTGGTTTAATGAGAGATTTTGTATCGTCATTTTGGAAGTCTGCCTCTATCCTCCTTAATGCAGGATTATCGTGTTCACCCTGTCCATCGTCCACTTCATCAAGAATTTCTGATCTACTATTTGGTAGTCCTTCACTGAGCCCGCTCATGTGAGCTAAATTACTTAAATTAAACATAGATTCTTGATTAATTCTTTGGTCAAGTTCTTTCTTAAGCGAATGTTTTTGTTCTCGCTCATGTTGTAATGAATTTAATGCTTCTTCTAAATTTTTTTCAACAATTTTTTTCAAACTTGTGTTTTCATCCAACTGAATATTAAGATCATCAAATTCTTCATGTAGTCTTCGAATTTCATGTTTCATTCCTTCAAATTCAACCTGACTCTGTTTTAACTGAGAAACTGTTTTTTGGAGTGTAATATTTTCTTCTTCGAGTTCAGCATAATCAGCCAAATTTCGATTTTCCCGTTTTCTGAACTCGGAAATGTCATTTTTATATTGTCTTCTTTGATCTTCTAATGTGTCAGTTTGCTGTTGTAATTCCAAAACTGCTTGATGTAATCGCTCATTTTCCGCTGAGCTCCTATCGAAGGACTGTTTGAATGATTTTAATTCAGTTTCAAGTTCATTGATTGATATTTTATAACTTTCTTCCCTTGTAGCTGTTTCCTGTAGGAATGTGTCTTCATGGTGAATTCCACTTTTTTGTTGCTTGCGAAATGTGTCCTGATGTTTGTTTAATGCCTACAATGAAAAAGATAATGATAATGAATTATTCTTAATATGGACAAAATACAACTAACTTACAAATTCCTTTTATAATGCATTTATGTTTGCTTAATGTCTAGTGACTTATACTCAACATCTTACAACAACATCAAAATTACAAAAACTAAAAAGTTTAATCAAAAATCCATTTAGTCCTCTTGATTTTAGCCCACATATATGTGTAATTTAATAAATTTGAATGTATATTCATGTACATGTATGTAGGCCTTACAACTACCAAATGTTAAAAGCCAAAATGTGTTTTTACTGGATTTTGGTCCTGGTCATTTCTGTTTTCTTTTTAAAAAATTTTTTCCACTTTTACTACTTAGTTGTGAACATTTCAAAATATTGATGGCAAAATACACATAATCTTAAGGTGATTTAGACAGTCTTCACAAAAAACTTTTAAATCTACAGGCCCGAAGCTGAATTTTATGAAAATTTTAGTTAGATTCCATTGGCGTGTAGCGATCATTTTTACAGGCCCGACAGTATTTTTACAAGCCTGGGCTGGTGGGCCTGTGGTTGAGATCGAAGACTGCTTAGAGCTTGATTATATAGCATTGGACACTTTTTTTCTGGACTTTGGTCCTTGTCATGTCTGTTTTTTGTAATCTGTTTTTTTCATTTTTACAACTAAGTTGAGAACATTTCAAAATATTGATGGCAAAATACACAAAATCTAAAGGTGATTTAGAGCTTGATTATATGGCATTGGACACTTATTTGGTGGTTGCAAAACCATTAGTTAACCTCTCCTTGTATCTTTTTATGGTATGTTGTAGGGTTACTGTCTCATTGATGTATAGCCATTATCACCAATTATTCTTATTATTAGGTTTATAACTTTTCTTTAAACAAAGTTGCAGAGAATCAGGAGATATAGATGACTTAAATTTACAGCTTTCATCTGTTAATAAATCTAAGTGAATCTGTTTACTGGTGAAAGTTTATCAGATTTCTCCTGATATCTGGCACTATCTTTACTATTGATCAAGATGAATTATTCCGATTAAATGCTCATGTAATATGTTTTGACTCAGGTTTTTTTCTTTATTCTTAATTTTAAAACTTTTCATACCTATATATATATATAACATGTATAACCTAATAATAGGTTCTCATTCATAACCTTCCCTTAACATGAGTGTATAAAATAAGGAAAGAGTAAATGGGAGAAAAGATGTCTGTGTTTTCCATTTCATATTTTTTTCTTTTAACATGTTTTAAGGAGATATGTTTGTACTTTTTTATTAGGTGTGGAGGGGGTATATATAAACCCTCTAAGGAAAACACAGGAGTACACAAAAATCAAACAGAGAAGTGAGCATAGCTGACAAAACCCTTACCCCCACCCTGCCTGCAGCCTCTCTAGTTAGAAATAAATAAGAATGTATTATCATTACTCCTTATTGTCAAACATATAATTTATGTGATACACGTTTGAACTGTCATTACTGACAAGTTAACTAGTACCTGTACTACACTGAACATTGTATAATCAAATAAATAAACATTTTTTTTTTTGTGATTTGCTAGACAGACACAATGACATACATGACATAATGGTTTGATCAAATGTGTTAGTATTTAGTTTACATATTAAGCATATACAGGGTTTAGCTTGTAGCATTTATGTCAGAAGTTTGTTGATTTAGTATATAGAACAATTCATTTATTTTCAAATCAGTGGGCTTGACCGCAATATGGAAAGTCATTACTTTTAGGATTAGAGAAAAAATTACTTTTGTATGTCTACATGAAGATGTAGGACTATGTCATGTATGTCAAGAATGTAACTAACAAGCAAAGGAATAAAACCAGAAACGATGTCACTATACATGTACATGTATGCATGGACCTAAATAATAGTCTTTAGACAAGAATCGTAACCATACATGCTTATAATGTCTCGAAAGTCTAGAAAAATTGTATACAAATTAAACGGAGATAAGTAAAAAAAAGTCTGCCATCATCAACAAATTCTATAATGGAAAAAAAACTATGATATATATAAACAAAGACTACCCTGATGAGGCGTTTAATTGCTCTTGACATAGGAAATGCACATACACATATGTTTTCAAGACCAAAAATATATATACTTGTTTTCTTCCTCTTGACAGAAAAAAACAGATTACAAAATGTAGCCAGGTAACATTTTAGGTGAAATAATTTTATTTTTGAAAAACATTTTAAAAATCTAGTTTTATAAGGAAATATTGTGGATGGTGCTTAACTAAATAAGGTTGGACTTCAACAGCGCTCAACTAAAAATATTCATAAAATGTGTTAAGAGAAGGCATTCAATTTAAGGTTAGTAGGGAGGCTGGAACCAAAAAGTATATTTTCAGCATTTAAACCTTTATATAGGGTACAATGAAATAAATCATTAAGTTTCCCAACATACTGTTACAACTGTGTAAGAAATTATTTTTTCCTCCAATCTGAATCAATAAGTACATTGCAATTGTATAAAACAAGATGCATTAATAAGGTACTTATTGATTGTATGATTGAATTAATAATATTATTTAGCATAATTTCAAAATAATCTTCAAAAAGCTATGATCACAACCAGATCAAATGTTACATGTTCAAACGTTTTAGATTTTTTATATGATTATCCAGTATCATTTTCATTTCACTATTGTAATCAATAGAAATTCTATAATATATATTTAACCACTTTTAGAAAACCTCTTGATCTGGACTTATGAACCATGAAATACTTAATTCAAATATTATATCATTTAAATATAATATGGTTTACAGATTTAAAAATCAAACAGAAGGAAAAAATTTCCAAACAATTATATTTCCTTATTTGGAATAAAATTTATGAAATGAAATATATAACCATGATTTGCATTATGAATTCATAATCTGTGTTCCCCAAACATTTATGGTTGACAGTGCATAAGATATGTATGAACACAAGCAGATACATCCCATTAATAACACATGTGTTACATGTTAAATTATAACACATCAAAAGCTACACCCGTAGCCTTAGCAGTTAAGCAGACATAAAGGTTCATTCATATTTGTTAACACAAAACTTTAAAAGTTTACCTGGTTCTTTAGAAATAAATTAAACAACCAACACCTCCTGCCTACATCTTTTTATTCAGGTCATGTGAAGAAAAAAATTCCATTACATTGCTTAAAAGGATAGGTACATTTAACATGTAGGTTGCTTTTACATTATGTCATATGAATAAGTTTATGAAGATATGTGGTATTTTTTGTACACAACAAATTATCTTGGCATCAAAATCTCACCAAAACCAGGATTTAATGATTATTGATTGTTGAATGTCCATTGTCAAATATTTCATGCAAATAATTCAGGACAAGTTATAATTTAAGACACATGAAAAAGGACCTGGCTTCTGATGATTAGAAAAAAACCTTCTAAAAAGTTTCTATTATATAATCAATAATTACATTGAAAAGTTAGATATATGTATAAATGAATGAAAAATGTGTCCATGGGACACAGATGCCCCCACTTGTAAATATATAACAAATTCTGCAATTTTTCAATTTACAAAGGTACATAACTCAAGAACGGCAAAACTGATGCCACACAAATTCGACCTTGATCTGTGTTTGGTGGTGATGAGCATTGTGTATAATTTTTAAAACATTTGGTTGAGGCAAACTAAAGTTAGAGTGTGGAAGTGGCAAATTCAGAAATTTTATCATTTACACCAAAAAAATGTATAAAGGGACATATCTCGAGAACAGTGAAAGTGACACAACCCAAATTCAAACTTGATCTGTGTTTGATGGTAATAAGCATTGTGTCATGATATTTGGTTGAGGCAAACTAAAGTTAGAGAACGGAAACTCATTTTTGGACATTAGGACAGATGTACATACAGACGACCAGGCGGACGATCAGACGGACAAGGGTAAAACTTAATGCCTCCTCCCTCACAGTGAGGGCATAAAAAAGGTTTTTATTCGAAACATATAATATCTTTCTTTTGCCTCAAACTGGAACATATCATTGAAGGTATCATTGCCAGTTTATAAATGGTGACTTTAACATGCATCAAAACAAAGTGTGCTTAAGGTAAAAATGTATCCAAACAATCAACAATAAACTTATCCCTATCACCATGAAAAACAACTGCACATTTTCTAAATGAATTATAATTTATACCCATGCAGGATTATTTAAAAGCTCCTGTAAAATAATATACATGTATATAAGAACAACAATTAAATTAAGTAATACAAGCAATACCAGGATTATAAACATACAAGAATGTGTCCATAGTACATGGATGCCCACTCACACTATCATTTTCTATGTTCAGTGGACCGTGAAATTGGGGTCAAAACTCTAATTTGGCATTAAAATTTGAAAGATCACATCATAGGGAACATGTGTACGAAGTTTCAAGTTGATTGGACTTTAACTTCATCAAGAACTACCTTGACCAAAAACAGACGGACGAATGGACAGAAGGACAGACAGAAAAACATAATGCCCTCTACTATCGTAGGTGGGCCATAAAAAGGCTGAAGAACATGTAGATGGTCAATTCTCAACAAGAGATGGAATTTTGGTAACTTGTCAACTAGTGTTTACTTGTGATAAAAATAGCTGATTCAAGGACTCTAAATGACCAGGTTTTTTTGCATTTCATTGAAATGATCAAAGCCATATAATATCATGCCGAGTAAAACAATAAATTTCAAAAAGAGATCCAGAATTTTTTCTATATAAAAAGGGGGACATTTTTTCCTATGATTGTAAAGTAATTAAATATAAACCAGAATTGGTTGCCCTGCTTTGAATTTTTCCAACTTCTGTTCCAAATTTGAACATAATTATTCAATGCTTGCTTCTAGTGGAAATTGAATTTCACTAACAATGATTAATCAAAGAATGTGATTGATTGATCATAAGGATCATCTCGAGGTTCATAATAAGTTCAAACATTTTCTGGTCCACTTGATGATTATTATTTTTTTCAAGTCTGCAAAACAATGCACGATAATCTAAAGAATCAAAAATACGTTATAATGTCTTGGTGTATTCAGTGTATATAACACGCGGAATAGCAAAATTCAATATTCAACTTTGAGACATTCCCCCAATTTGACAACAGCTAGTCATAAGAAGGGCATTGACGCACCCAAATCTCTGTGTAAACAATAAATATATATTTACCTCTTTAGCTGTGTCTAGTTCTTGCTTCAATGTTTCATATTGTGTCTCTATTTCTTCGATTTGCTGTTGAAGTTGCTGTTTTTCCTCTAAAACTGCAAGTCCGTACTCGGCGGCTTGTACCTTTTCTTGTGTCGTTTCGGCAAGTTCTGTCTGCAGTCGCTCGACTTCTCGCCTCAACTCTTCAACAGACTGGTCGGAACTACTTGGATCTGACATTTTTTAACCTAAAGAGGACTTAAATTGTTCAAATAACACGAAAATTGGAAGAAAGTTTCAAGGGCAGACTCCCCCATTCTATACAGTCGCCATCTTATTAATTTATGCAGCTATGTTGTCATGTGACCAGACTTGTCTTTATATGGAAACCCTAATTAACTTTAACGCTATCAGTGTTTTTTATTATTATTAATCCTATAAGTCAAGATCTTGTCCCTACAAAGTATATCAAAAGAAAAAAAGATTAATTAAAGTAAATATTAAGACCAATCACCTGACACCAGTTGTTTACAGTATATTGATTTTGGATATTAATGTAAATTATGCAAATACTTATGGCATTAGCTTGGTCGTATGGTATGTCTCTGATCAGTATACCTAGGACATGAAATATTGACTATTCCTAGGATTTATCAAGAAAAAACTCACAGTTTTTCAACAAATGATTATTATTCATGCTTTTACTGAAAAAAGGTCAACTTTCAAAAATGAGCAATTAAATGATATGTCACAGACATCGGTCCATTTCTTAAGAAAAAAAAATGAATATCAAGCATGGACTATTGTCAAATTATTTAAATATTTGGAGAAATAAAACAAAACATTAGTTATTCCACTTTACGGATGATAATTTAAGCATGTATGCAATTTGGGTACTCCTCATTACAGAATCATGCATGGGTCGTTAGGAGGTTGTTCAAACCAATTTTTCTAAGATCCAATATGAATTCAAAATTAAAAAAGTGAAAACAACACGTTTAATAATGTCATGCGTCCGAAGCGCTTTTCTGGATTTACCTTCATCAGGAACGCTCAAAGCCAAACATTTGAAATCCGAGGGATGTAAAATTGCATATAGTAAATCATAATACACATACAAATATAAACAGAATGGAAGCTTTTTCCTTTATATCATAGATAAGCGTATTGAAAAAACTGTCAAAATAGGTGCAATTTGGGTAACATCTCGGTATGTCTTGATCTGCTTATAGTATTCATCAAAATTCCATTTAAAATGAATGATTAACAATAACATAAGTACCATCAGTATACAATATATGTATTGTATGTCTTTGTCACATGCAGAGACATGCAAAAACTACACAAAAACAAGTTTTTTTTTTAAGTCGCTTTGAATACAAAGCTGACATTTTGTCAGTTTAAACTGGGACTATTACACTAAGATAATCCTAGGTATAAACTTAAAAACACACATTTCATCGTTCTGTGAGTTCTGAGATACAATATTACACTATATATATATATGATGTGTTATATTTTAAAGAAATAAGCCCCCTAAAAAAATAAATAAATGATAAAGTGAACAAATTTTCAAATGAAGGTACAAGATCTAAATTTAAACTATTTTTTTTTCTATTAACTGTTGATTTATAGTGATTATGTAAACAGTCCACATGTTTGCACGCAGGATTTTTAGGATAATTTCTAATTAACCTAACACGAATAATTCAATCGCCTCTCCCACTCGCGACGTAGCCCTCGTAGAACAGTGGAATATAACGACTGAATTATTTGGGTTATAATTGACCCAATATTTGACACATCGATGCGTCTTCAATGTAAAATGATTGCTATTACATTTTTGAGATTTGCAATCATATCTTCGATCACTGAATCTGGGAATAGTATACTAATGTCAGTATATTATGTCCTAGATTGAATTGAACATAATATCTTAATAAGTCATCTCACCTGGCAATGTTTGAATCATGAATGCAGTAGTACAAGCTGTTTCTCTGATGATATGTGACTGTCGTACAATCTATAACTTTTTGAAGCAAAAATGTTGTAAAATTATTATTTCTTTGTTAATTAAAAAAATGCATATTCATTTATGATGATTGTTTAAATTGTGATAACACTGTATTATATGGCTCTGATTATAATTAGGTGTCATATAATCCCAATATTCTGATTAAATATCAACTTACTAATTTGATTGTTAAATTTGTTCCTAATTAATGGATTATTGTCATTTCTCAAAGCAATTGTCAATATTACTCGGAATGAGCACGCATAAAAAGGAGAAAAAAGAAAGAAAAGAACCATAACGAGAAAATGATATGTTACGTAATTCATTTAGAATCGGAAACTTTAGTAAAATAAAATCATATGCAAAGACTGTTACCATAGATGTAATACCCATAGATGAAGCTCAACCCTGACTTCAAAGGTTATATGTGCGTTGTAATGGCTTTCACACTTATCTGATAATGACATGAACCAGTTGGTCATTGAGATGCCGATTGACAATCTAGACAATAGAAAACTGACAATTAAAAGATATACAGGACATACAAAACTTAATCCTTATAACGGTTCGGCTCTAGTGTGTTTAAGTGACGTGGTCTTAGTCAATATAAACATAGATGTATAAACCCATATATACATCTATGATATAAAAGACTCAAAATATAATTTTAGTTAAAGTATCATGGACATATCACAGATAAGAACTAGTAAATTCGAGAAGAGATCATTCAGATATGCAGCCGCTTCACTCTGGAAAAACTTGCCAAACCATTTCAGGAATGAAAATAGTTTTTCTCAAATATAAGAGTTTGCTTCAGTCCTGGAATGGTTCGAACTGCCTTGCTCAGCCTGCAGATATGTTTAAAATCTGTTTGTGTTTTGCTTCCTGTCACACTGTCAAATCTGGTTTCCCTGTGCATAGTTATTTAAGCGGAGACTCAGAGGGCGGGCGATTGCCACATGGGTCCCCGTTTGGGTCTATGTTCAGCACACCAATGTTTTCAAAATTCTTGACTAATATGTGTTGTGGATTCGCTAAAGATTTTTTTTTTTTGCTTGCTGTAGACGCTTTTTTTTTTAAAGTTAGATGCTTATGATCACTCTATTTAGTTTTTAGTTATCACACAGATCTTCAATTTTAGATTTTTCATTATGTTAAAAGTGGCTCATCATACTCTTATTTTATAGCGCTAATTAATGAATTTCGTTGTTTTCAACTGAGACTTCTATTACACATATAGTAGTCTTCAGTTTTCAATTATCAAATTTTATCACGATTTTTAACTATATTCTAAAAAAATTTAATGCTTATTCCAAATTTTATAGAAGATACACTGTTATCATACTTCAAATTTGCTTAAACATGTTAAACCAAGGACATATATTAGAAAGATAGGAAATTCCCTATACCGCCTTGTTAACATCCATAAAATATCGCGTGCGATACGTTAGTATTAGTTATACGTCCTTGGTTAAACAAATTAAGTATTGCACATAGGAATGCCAAATTTTGTGTATGTAATGCATGTTGTTATTCATGATTGCTTTATGTTATGTATATGTTTTTATATTCGACCAAAAGCTCTTTCGAGCTTGTGTTGTATAGTTCTATAAAAAATGAAAACAACGCGTTATAAATTTCATGCGTCCGAAGCGCCTCTCTGGATTTACCCATATCAGGAACGCTCAAAGCCAAATATTTGAAAGCCAAGGATGTATAAGAACCGAAACAGTTGAAGAGCTATAATACGTAAAAGGACCTAAAGAAAATAGCCAAATCCATCTCAGGTCAACTTTGCCTGAGGGAGTTGAAACCTTAGTTTCTAATCATTTCAAAATTCATTAACGGACAATTTTAAAAAGGTTTGTTATATAAATCATGCCTGTACCGAAGTACTGACTACTGGGCTGATGATACCGCCGGGGACTGATAGTCCTCCAGCAGAGGTAAAAGCGTTTCTAATGAAAGAAAAATCCAAAATAGCATCGACGCACGAAGTTTATAAAATGTTATTAATAGACTCGTTTAAAAAAATTGTTTTATTGGGATATGTTACAGTCGGGTCTCATTGGGGTCTCAGCGTGACCCGGGATCACCGATTTTTGTAAGCGTGACACGTGGAAGTCAATTATTGTGCCGTGAACACGGAAAATGAAGTCTAGCGGGACACGGGAAATTACAAAAAAATGAGAATTGCTTACGTACATAGTATAAGCGGGATACGGGAATCTGACAAAACAGTAAGCGGGATCCGGGATCAGAATCCCCCAATGAGACCCCCTTACTGTCGTTACTGTATACAACGTAAACCGGAATTCTTCAGTCGCTTTTCCGACAATATTTTTCAGCAGGTGCCCGTTAAATATCCTGATCCAATCACAATTATTGCGCATGCGCAGAATGATTTCCCGTTCTCTAAACAATATGGCCGAAACAGAGACGGTCTATTGTTTATGTCGAAAACCTTATGACGAGTCTGAATTTATGATAGAATGTGATATTTGCAGAGACTGGTTCCATGGAAGGTTAATCAGCTTTAAGATTTATATATTTTGCCACTCCCATACAGTTCATAACTCATTGTTTTAGTTGTTGTTTATACCTGTCAGTGGTTCAGTGTTGCTGACAGATGACAGAAAAATTGTAAAGTTACACTATTTTCTATTGTTTCAAAGTTTGGTTGCTTTTATGAATGCATGCATTATCACACTGACGATGGGATTATGACAAAAAAATGTGTTTTTTTTTTTTGAAAAATCAGTCTATTCGTGTATGGCTATGCAACTTGTTAGAAATTTTTAACAGAGCATGGGTTTGTTTGGCTTTACCATGTTACAGTTGAAATAATATAGCATGAAAGTCAAAGAGTTTAAATGCCTTGCTTGCAAACTTTGTTTGGCTGTTTGATCAGACATTTTAATTAAGAAAGACACCTTAATTCAATGGGTAGGTGGAGTAACAGTCTGTTTACTATATCTCAATATACACAAACGTTTTTATGATGATTTCTTCCAAAATGTTTTTTCGAGATATTAGTTGTAACTCCTAGATTATTTCATCAAATTGCTGGACTGTAATGACTAAAAAACATTTTTAAAAGTCGAAACTCTGTTCATTCGCATTTTTGTTATTTAATAAACTTATTTACAATTTTGGTATTTACATGTAGCTGAATTCTGTCTCCAAATGACCTTAGATCTGCTCCAAATAACCTTCTGACATCAAGCAACAATCACTTTTTAACATGTTTAATTATAAGGTGAAATTTTTAAAATTGTGATGTCAAATTTTACAGGAACTTGTGTGATATTAAGTAATGGTGGACAAATTTGCATACATGTGTAAATACGTCTATGCATTCTTGGTAATATTTTTTTTAAAGTGTACACCAAAGCATTGTGATTGGTTAAAAACATTCTAAACAATTGAAATTCAACCAATGGCATTACGTTATTTTCATTCTGGGGTACAAACAATAAAATTACCCATCATGCCCATAGTCCTTTAGATTATGAAACAGTCTATTGATAACTTTAAATGGTGCAGTTTCGGTTAAGCATACATGTATGTTAATACTGGAATCAGATTCATTGACTTTTCCAGATTTCGACCCAAAACTAAATTATAATATATTTCCGACTTACCGACCTTATATTTTTTTGGAAGGAAACCCTTAACACACACATTATTATTTTTTTTTTTTTGCCTCACTCATTTAGACTGTTTAGATTGCCCATTGTCATGATTGTGTTGCTGTTATATGTGTTTCGAAATGAAGTAATTTGAGTTTGAGTTATTTCCCTTGGCCACCATTTTGGAGGGGTAAATGGTTGATTTTCCTATTTGACTAACCAATTTGAAACATGCTAAACAACAAATCTGACGAAGATCCTTACCAGATTGTAGTGATGAATCAATAAAGGTTATAGATTAAAAGAAATTGAAATTGTCGATAAGTTTTTTTTCTAAAGTCTAGGGGTCAGTATAAAAAGTTGAATTTGGCTGATTAAAAGGCTGTCTGCACTTAGACCTCCAACATGGCAACAAAAGAGAAGTAACTCTTGCTGTAATAATTGAACCTACATGTATCTATTGTCCATGTCCAGGGGAAATGAGCAAAATTGTCATCCTAGGATTACCAACCTTGTTCTAAAGAAAATTCAAGGAAAAGTTTATCCCACTGTCTCCTCATGATTTTTTTAATATTCTTGATCTGAATGCACTTGATTTCCATATACCACCAAGTTAAAAGGCTATACATTAAACCATGATTAAAATTTTCCTAAATTATGACACATTTGTTGCAAAACAGTTGCATGTCATTGCTTATACATATCAACTACGTCAATTTCAGGGGACTATTCACCTGAGAAATCTGACCCAATTTATTCAAGTTGAAAAGTCAGGTTAATTTTATTGCAATCTATTCTTTGAATAAAAATGCATGACTGTCCCTCCAACTGGATATCTTTTTCTAAATTTCATTGATTAAAGAAGTAATCTTGCAAACACAACCTTAGCACTTGTTGACGTTCTAATCCTTTCATTAATGTTTGATTTAAAATTCCAGGAGTCACTACATTTAAAAATTTATGGGATTTGTTAATTAACTTCTTCCTGGCAACCAAACAAGTAGAATTGAAGAGACAACAGGAAGACTTCACAGAGATTTGAAGGATCACTATAATGATTTTGATGAATTAAATTTCCCAGCATTTATATTTTTTTGTTAGGAGCCTTTTGCATGACAAATGGAAGATGTTACACATTTTCTTGTCTTGTACATGTTGTAGTCTGAATGAACTGATGAAGGAATTGAAAAATAATTTTGCTACATCTCAAAGCATTTTTAAATGAAAGTCTTTAAAATTTGTTCATATACAATTCAACCTGCAGTGTTCTCCCCAGGGCCTTTTAGCAATATACTGATGTGATGCTATTATTCTTGAATGTGATGCTATCTGAATTGATTTTCTTATATATTGTGTTATTGATGTGATGCTATAATTTTAAGAAACAAGATGGTATTTTAAATTTCCCCCTAAAAGTTTGAAATATCTTAAGTACTGTTTTGGTCTCTTACATTGCCAAGATAACAATAAATAGATATACATGTATTTATTCTTTAAAATTTGTTTAATGGCTTTCAGGTATTTGTCAGGTCTATAGAAGATTGGTACAATGTACAGGGCCTAATCTAGGATTTTGAAGAGGGAGAAGTGACTTCTCCTTCAATGAGAGAGAAGGGAGAAGTGGTCAACTTCTTGGAGAAGTGAGATTCCATTACCGTTTCGGTTGCATCGTGTTTTCATGCTTATATGTATCACTAAGGAAATTGTTTTATATTCAATAAAAGATATACTTGCAGTTTTTTCATATGTTATTTTACACAATGTATATATAGAAAGTTCTTAATAAAAAGGTTTAGACAATATATAGTTGTTATTTTTTTATTGATACCATAATGTGTTCTAAATAAAGTTTGTTGATTGGGACATGGGGGAGTAGCCTAGTAATATTATCAAGATTACGATGCATTAAATTCATGTGCATCTGCCTCAATTTATTTTTAAAACTCCAGAAAAATATGACTCCTAGTTTACCTGATGAATTTCACATGACTGGGAATTTAATTTATATCACCACTTGTCATTATTTTGTAAAACATTATTGAATGTCCAGGACATTTATGTTAGTTGTAAATTGAGATTATTATTAAAGATTGTAAGTCTATAAATGAAAATATCTTTCAATCGCAAATTAATTATCCGATAAAGAGCTAATTTCTATCATTTTTTTAAAATATCATCCAAATCAACGAAGTGGTCATGAGAAAAAATCCACTGCTGATCACAATCTGGTCGAGTGTCGTACGTTTGCAATCACATTATCCATCAGCTGTCTTTCTACCTTTTATATTTCAATTTTTATTCAATGAATATAATAAATCTACTGTTTATTCTCACCCTTTACCTACCGAAAAGTAAAATTGATCGACTCGTGTAGGTAATAAAATAAAACAAATCAGCTGAGTGATTACGCAACATCCTCAGATGAAAATCATCGTAAAACGATAACTTAAAACAGACGGTCAGTTTTCCGTTTGAACAGTTTTGAAAGTTATATCCGAGGATGTTCAAAGTCGCCGTTGTATTTATTTAATTTGATCGTTTACAGTATTAGTCCTGGGTCGTTTTCGAAAATCTCGATTTTCCATGTCAGCCGCCATTTTTTTACCTGTGAGACTTGTCAATCACAAGTTGTCTCCCTTTTACCGATTTTGATAGCGATTTGACTTCGCTATGAAGTCAATCGGCCGGCGAGATTTAGCGATTTTCAAAATTCTTTGGCGACTTAAATCGTCATTTCGCCGGCAAGATTATGGCCTGATGTATAAGAAGAGGGTCCTGGTCGGTTTACAATTCCCAGAACTATGCCCATAGATTAGAATAGTAATGTTCATTAATACAATGTTTATATATAAACATTTCTATTTTGTATACAAAATAAAATCCATTCATAAAAATAGATATTTGGTGCTAACAGGAAGTGGAATAGGGGTATTTGTCCTGTTTCACAGAAAGTTCTGGTCATTTTGAAAATATGGAGGGGATACATATGATAATCATAGGAGTATTGAGATTGAATCTGTTTGTAAAGTATTTCATTTATTTGTAGCTGTGTAGGTGTACAAGAACACCAGGCATCAGATATAGAAATATACCACTGTCCAAACTGTCAACTTACACATGGTCCTCTACTCTGTAAGTATACACAATACATCATTTCAGCTTTTAACAACTAGGGTATTAGTTAATATCTAGCCTCTTGGCATTCCTCTATTAGTGATACAATATTCTAAATCAAAGGTCAGCATAGATTTTGAATAGATCAAAAAGGTTTCCTTTTTGAATTAAAAAAGGTACAAAAGCAAATTAAATTATTCATCACTGCACAAAAACTATTGTGTTTGACAGCCGTATGGGACTCTTTGTAATGAACTGCATGTATATTGATATTGTTTTTCAGTGAAAAAGAGGAAAAATTTCCACAGACATGATTATTCTGAAGATGACGTTGAGAATAAGGTAATTAGAAATTAACAAAATTTCAAATCACATCAATACACATTCGTATTTGAATATTTAAATCTATAAAGATCTTTCAATAAAGAAATAAAAAGATGTGGTATTACTGCCAATGAGACAACACACCACCAGAGACCAAATGACATAGAAGTTAGCAACTATAGGTTGATGTACTGCCTTCAACGATGAGCAAAACCCATACCGCATTGCATGATTGCAACCTTCAAAAGGAATAAAAATGACAAATGTATAACAATTCAAAAGGTCTTATTACATACAAAAAGAATTGAGAATGAAAACAAGGAATGTGTCAGAGACATCAACCCAACCAAAGTGCAGAAAACAGCCCAAGGCCACCAATTGGTCTTCCAACGAAGTGAGAAAATCCAACAAAATTCACATCAATAAATGTACATATTGATTTCCAAATTGATGGTTTTACTCCTTGAAACACAGGAAGATGCATTTTAAGGATATTATAATTGATATGTAGACTGAACTTGTAAGTAACAGAAAAATTGTTGTCCAAATACTGTTTTACTGAGCAAACAAGAGATTTACTGGCTAAATGCTTGTGAACAGTGGATTTCATAAATAGAAAATTTTCAGACTCACAAAATTTTGGCTTAGTGTTTCAGTTTGTATTGCTATGCTTTTAGCTTAAGCAACGACCTTAGTCAAGTCTGATCACACAGGTAGAAATCAGCTTTGAGGAATTCAACCCTCAACACAATGTGGTAAATTATTTCTCCAATTTCAATGTTTGGTTTAGTAAGAGTTATTTCCCTTTATATCTTTGAGTTAAAATTGCAAACTTTGACTTTTTGTTTTTTAATATTTCTTAAACCCAAGTTCAGAAGACCCTCAATGTTTTATTATTATTTAACAATATTCCAATTCAGCACCATTCACTCTGGCTTTAAAATTTTTTTATGATCCATAGAACAACACAATCTAAAAATGTGACAGAGACTTTTGCAAGAGGGACAACATTACAAAATTAGAAGCCTACTTTTACTGTTGTAAAAATGTGGAATTGAAAGTAAACAATAATGACAAAAGGCAACACCATTACATTTCCTTTTTTCAAAGATTCTTACGAAAATTTTATTTTGAATTGATTTTTTGTCTTTTCAGGCTGTTCAAACAGGAACTGTTGTATTTATTAAAGAATTGAAAAACAGAACATTTCCAAGGTAAATATTTCGTTGTTGTTTACAATTATAGTGTTAACCATTTATTTCTGTATACATGTATGATAGAAAAGAAACAGTTCAGATTCAACAGATAAATGAGAAGATACATGTATAATACGGTCACTTTCTGGTCCCTTAAATTTCAAAATAAAAAAAAAGAATTGATAAAAGAAATGGGAAATGTGTCAGGGACAACAACCGGAAGGAAGAGCAGAAAACAGCCAAAGGCCACCAATTGGTCTTCAATGCAGCAAGAAAATCCTGTACCCTGAGGCGGGCTTCAGGTGGCCCCTAAACAATAATGTTTCAAGTATTATTAATCTACCAAAAAAATGTACTTGGGACTTCAGTATCTACATTTTCGAATTTTGTCTTGCATATTGGTAAAAGGGTTTCAAACTTCTTACATTTATTAGTACAAAACATTAAAAACTGCCAAAAAACCTCATTCTGAGATCTTATCATTTATATTTAGATATAAGCAAGAGCTTAACCAAAAAGTATTTTACAAAGATGGTTATATGTTTAAAACATTTTTTGAATAAAGCTCTTGCTCAAATATATTTTGACTAAAACCTACAAGTGAAGTTTTCATTTTAGGGCAAAAAATTTAAATTCCACATGATTGTGCACTTATGTTTGTCTATGAACAGGTACTCTCGAGAGCAAAAGGTTTGAAAGCCATATATATAATAGTTTGAGGGGATGCAGACTAAAAGGGCTAAACCAGAACAACTAAAATTGTCTATGTCAACTTTGCTTAAGGGAATTCCACTGTAAATGTAGAACAATTACATATCAACAAAATGAGAAACCTGTTCATTGACATCATAGATATAATAAACTTGTTAAATTCTGTTTTTATTTTTTCTATACCTTGCACTGGATTAATCCATCAAATTCTTGATTGTTGAACATATACTCTGATTATCTCCCTTCTTTACAACAATGATCATGTTATTTTATCTGAAAATGATGTTTCAAGTCTTGTGTATTAACTTTTACAGTGGAGATGAAATTCCTTTATTACGACTGCATGGCAGTGAGCTGATACCAGAATTCTTTAATAAAAATGGTCTTGATACTCCAATATTGGTAGAAAAAAAAGATGGCATGAGTTTAACAGTTCCACCACGTACATTCACGATACAAGATGTTGAAAATAATGTTGGTAAGTTAATGATGCTGATAATATTAGATATGTACTTTAAAGCTGAAGACCTGTGATCAATAATTTATAAAGAGTTATGTCCCTTAACATAATTCTACCTCCATAAACTATTGGTAAAAACAGTGTTTAAATACTTCAAAACAAATTGGGAATAAGTTCTCTACTGAATCGTTGGTTCCTGCTTATATCAAAAACTCTTCACATTGTGTTTTATAATGATTAAATCTTCAACAAGACAAACTTCATAGGATTGTTCAAGCTTCTGAGGATATTTGAACAAAGAATCTTCAAGAAAAAACCTGGTTATGAAACATTCCTTTTAACTATTACTTGAGGGTGTTACCTCAGAAAACCCTTTTAAGAAAATGAAGTTTTTCGCTTATAAATAAACAAGAGTAATGTTTCTGACATTTTTTTTTGCATATTCCTTTTCTGTAATAAAGTTTTTGTATGAGGGCTGTTCCATAAAAACATACATGGGACCCAGGGAAGGCACTTTCAAATCTCAACAATGGGTGGGTGTTATCTATGTTTTTGCATAGTGGAAATGTAAGTGAAATCTTAATTGGCCTCTCTGGTGGTTACCCCATTTTTAAAGTGCCTTCCCTGGGTAATATGTAAGAATTAATGGAACAGCCCTGAGTATATATTGATGTGATTTTCATTCTAAATGTGAATTTCTTGTTTGTGAAATAAAATTTCTTAAATTCTTGTGTTTCTATTTACAAATTAGAATTTTATAAATTCTTACATTTCAGGTTCCATGAGAGAAATTGATGTGATTGATGTCTCTAAACAGGAGGACTGTAAAATGTTAATGAGAGAATGGACAGAATATTACAACAGTCCAAACAGAGCAAAGATATTTAATGTTATTAGTTTAGAATTCTCAAAAACAAAGTAAGATATAGTTGTGAAAAAAAATGATAGACGAAAAGTGTGTTGGTCAAAAAATATATGTGTTTGCTTTAAAGTTTGTCTTTTTAATATAAAGTATAGGAATAACAGTTCCAACATCTGAGAAAAATTTTCATACAGATGTTAAAACAATGCAAGGAAGTATCAAGTTACATATTTAATAAGGGAATACATGAATATTGGCATGCAATTGACATTATCAACCCCACAGATTTCTTTTTGATGGATTGAAGGTTGCTTGACCTTCAGTACATATCTTCCATGCATATTCAGTACCAGTTTTTTTTTTGTCCTAGTGGTTCCCTTAAAGAATAATCAGAAATAGTAGACCTTGAAGATCAGAAGTTTCCTTTTTGTTTTGACATTTAATTTTTTTACTTCAGAAATAATTCCTATAAAAATTTCTTAATTATAATTACTAAACCCTGTCAGAGGCAGAAATCAAAATAAATTTCATATAAAATTGCTTTTAGACTTTCAGAGTTAGTAACGCCTCCTGTGATTGTAAGGCAGTTGAGCTGGGTGTCAAACTTATGGCCTGACCAGTTACCAGAGGATTGTGCATACACACGACCAGAAGTACAGAAATACTGTCTTATGGGCGTGAAAGATAGTTTTACAGACTTCCATATAGATTTTGGTGGGACATCAGTTTGGTATCACGTGTTATGGGTACGTAGAAGAATTGCATGTTTGTTTGTTTAAGTAGATTTAAAAAAATTTATAACTTGACAAACAATAAGATGTATTTTATAGATTTGCAATATAAAAAGTCTGACAGGAAAAAAATAATGGAATGACATTTACTTCTGATTGGAAAAAATACACTAAAAAAACTTGAATGTCGTACTAGGTATAGGACTGAGATATTTACCCAGAAAAAACTCAAATGAACTTGCATTTACTGCTGTATAAAAAACCAAAACACTTGCATATTAAACTAGATATAAGACTGATTAATATACAGCAAGAGTCTATAAGGGGCAACAGGAAAACTTTACAGTATCTGTCAAACAGCAAATCCCATTACAGATTGCTTTCATAAAATTATTGATAGATGTTAGCAAATATTAAAATCCAACACAGGTGTTTCTTTTTAATTGTAACTGTCAAAATGACTTATACAAATAAGAAACACTTTTGACTATATAAATGATGTGTATATATTCAACAATGTGTCAAATGGTTTTTATTAATGTTTAAAGATAGTTGAAAAAAGAATTCTAATAATTTTTCATCAGTTTTCTTGAGGTATTTATTTTTAATTGAATATACAAAGGTAATTCTAGATCTATGTATGATGCTTGAGATTAATAGTCAAATTTTATCCACCGTTAATAAACAAATGTTTAAATAAATTCAGAATATGTTAACTAGTACATTATCAACCTGTACTTTATGTGGCAAAATATTGCCACTTTGTTGTTAGATAAGGGATCCTCATTATTCTGTCAGAAGAAGAAGCTGGAGGGAATGGGGAGTGAGGTAGTAATGGTAATCTTAATTTTAAGTGTTTAAAGATAATTTGTAATATTGTAGTAGACAATTTGACAATATCAAAGAAAATGTAAAAGAACAGCCAGGGGAGATAATTCAACTAAATTTTTAGAGGATATTTTTCTTATGATAACATATTGCAGCACAATGTTTCATAGAAGACACTGAACACATGTACTGCATTTAAATGTAGCATGATTTCTATTTGTAGGGTGAAAAAGTATTTTACATGATCAGACCAACATCATCTAATGTTTCCTTGTATGAGAGTTGGGTATCATCGTCGAACCAGAGTGAGACATTCTTTGGTGATCAGGTTGATGTATGTTATAAATGTGTAGTTAAACAGGGACAGACCTTTTTCATTCCTACAGGATGGATTCATGCTGTCTTTACTCCTATAGATTCATTAGTTTTTGGTGGAAATTTTCTTCATGATTACAACATACCATTACAGTTACAGTAAGTGATCCAACTGATACCGTACACATAAACAAATTTTTTTGCAAGTGGTTATTTCAATTTCATCAAAGGTTATTAAAAACTTGTCAGATTTTGAAGTTAGTATTGTTCATTTGGAGGTGACTCAACCTTGAGTTTGGTATTAGCAGTTTTACTTCCATCTTTTGAATTTTTTTTAGAGCATAAGTGATATGTTGCAAGAAAAATGCTTAACTCATTAATGATTTTGGTTAAACTAGAAATTTCAATTAATTACATTAACAAAAAATGCACCCTAAAAATTTATCGTAATATTCTCATGTGTAATTTACACATCTTTGTCAGTGTAGATTGCCCACACGGAAGACAGTCATGCTACATGTATGTGGCTGATGTTTGGAACTTAGATATACACTTTAGCTTATATAGATTAAGCTTTTTCTAATATTCACAGTAGGCAGTTATACACACTACGCTAGTATTAATCTTATTTTGTAAGAATATTCAATAAAAATGCTAGTTTGATTTTTCAATGGATTATACTAGCAAGTCATATGAAAAAAATAGAAAGCTTGACTTCTATATTGGGTGAGTAGAGAGAACAAGCTGAAAAGTATGCTTTCTACCACTACGTACTATGGAAAAATGAAATTTTTATCCACATTCAAGTTGATATAAAGCAGGGCTTCCAAAATTATTTTTAGCCAGCCGGACATTTTATATATTATCCCGATTTTAATCCCTTAAGACTAAATAAACAAAAGGCAATTATGGTAATCAGTTGCAGAGTTGGCCATCCCAATGATTGACATTAAAAAAAAGATATTAAACTTTCTTTGATTCAAATTCGAAGTTCTGACGTAAACTGTTAAATTGGCAGTGCATCATTCGAAGTGTGCAACATCAGAGTACTTATATCTGCCTTAGACTCTTTATTTGTGCAAAATAACGTTGTCAAAAACTTTACTTTCGTTTTTATACCGGATGTAATTTTGACAATGGTAAAACATGGACCAGAGACAGATACGTAAATTCCGTGTACGTTTGCAAAGCGTGAATGAGTGGAAGTAGCTCTTTCTACGTTATTTCTTCAAGAAAATATTCGAAATAAACGTGAGATAAAGGTATCAATGACAATTTAAGCATTTTTTGAAGAAATTAGGATGCATAATTAAATTTCACACCTGCGCACATGTGTACTAGTTCAACCAGAGACATTTCAAACAACGTGGTTATGACGATTTTTCATTTTCACCTTTTTAATTTTTTCATCAAATCATATTTGTAAACGTATTTCTGATAATTTAAATATTTGACTAAATTAATTAGATGCAAACCGCTGAAATATAAGAAAATAACTTTGAATAGACCGATCAATGTCCGGTTCAAAATAGTTTACCTGTCACCTGAACAGGTAAATTTCAGCTGTTTGACAACTAATTAGCCTTGATTAAAATGAGAAGGTATTAAAGTAGGGGTTGTTTTGATAGTACTTAATGATCATGTCACTTTTATGACCGGAAATGTGTGGCTGTTAAAGGCAAAAGGTTGGGTCAAAAAGATCGTGAATTATGTTAAAATGACCGTCTCTTAAGCCTTGAAAACTAAAAAGTATATGTCCGTTTCATGCTTTGCCCAGCCGGACTTTTACCGGACATTATACAAATGTCCGGCATATATGACCGTTTTGGAAGCCTTGATATAAAGCATATGTATCGTTGAGGTGATCTAATGTTTAAAAATATCCAAAAACAATTTTGGGAGTTATAAACAAATAAATGGGAAGCTAAACTGAATTGCTACTAAATGCTAAGTTTATAAAAATATGAATAATAATTTTTTATGCCCCCGCCGTAGCGGAGGGGGCATTAAGTTTTACCCTTGTCCGTCTGTACGTACGTCCCAAAATTGGTTTCCGTTCTCTAACTTTAGTTTGCCTCAACCAAATGTTATGAAACTTATACACAATGCTTATTACCACAAAACACAGATCAAGTTTGAATTTTGGTGGCGTCACTTTTACCTTTCTAGAGTTATGCCCCTTAACAAATGGAAAAAATGCTTAATTTTTCGTTTCCATTCACTAACTTTAGTTTGCCTCAACCAAATGTTATGAAACTTATACACAATGCTGATTACCACAAAACACAGATCAAGTTTGAATTTTGGTGGCGTCACTTAAACCTTTCTAGAGTTATGCCCCTTTATAAATGGAAAAATTGCAAAATTTTTATTTTCTTCTAGATATCAAGTTATTTTAAAATTGGAGTTATCTTCCTTTGTCCATGATTATAGTTCAATCAACTACAATCAATGCTTTATACAATGCAATGTTTAATTTTGACTTCCACTGATAAAACACAGATCAAGTTGAATTTGGGAAGTGTCACTTTTATCATTATTGAGTTATGCCCCTTTATAAATTGAAAGATTGCAAAATTTTTAGTTTCCATTCTGTAACTTAAATTTGCCCCAACCAAACATTATGAAACCTATACACAATATTCATTACCACAAAACTAAGATCAGGTACAAATTTTTTGTTTCCGTTTTCTAACTTTAGTTTGCCTCAACCAAATGTTATGAAACTTATACACAATGCTTATTACTACATAATACAGATTAAGCACGAAATTTGGTGGCGACACTTTTACCATTCTTGAGTTGTGTCCCTTTATAAACATAAAAATTGCTGAATTTTTCGTTTCCATTCTCTAACTTTAGTTTGTCTCAACCAAATGTTATAAAACTTATACACAACCGTTCTAGAGTTATGCGTGTTTACAAATAGAAAAATTGCTGAATTTTTAGTTTCTGTTCTCTACTTAAGTTAGCCTCAACCAAATGTTATGAGACTTACACACAATGCTTATTACCACAAAACTCAGATCAAGTTCAAATTTGGGTAGCGTCACTTTTACCGTTCTTCAGTTATGTCCCTTTATAACTATATGATATGCAAGCGGGGGCATCATCTGTGTCCACATGTGGACACTATCCACATTTATTTTATTAATAAGTGTAATACATGATTGTATATTTTATTTCAGGGTGTATGATATAGAGAAAAGAGTAGGAACACCACAAAAGTATTTATTCCCTAGTTTTGAAACAACAAACTGGTATGCAGCAAAACACATCTATGATTTAATAAAAGGTAAGAATTTAACCATATTAAGAATAATGTAATTATTGAAACAATGAGAGTTTCTAACACAATATTTACAAGTTTCTGACATTGGAGTTTGTTTTTTTTTTTTTATGCACCACCTAGGGGCATTATGTTTTTCAGTCTGCGTCTATTCGTCCGTCCGTCTGTTCGTTCATTCGTTCATCCGTCCGTCTGTCCCACTTCAGGGTAAAGTTTTTGGTCAAGGTAGTTTTTGATGAAGTTGAAGTCCAATAAACTTGAAACTTAATACTCATGTTCCCTATGATATGATTTTTCTAATTTTAATGCCAAATTAGAGTTTTGACCCCAATTCCATGGTCCACTGAACATAGAAAATGATAGTGCCCGCTGCAGGTTAAAGTTTTTGGTCAAGGTAGTTTTTGATGAAGTTGAAGTCCAATCAACTTGAAACTTAGTACACATGTTCCCCTTTGATATGATCTTTCTAATTTTAATGCCAAATTAGAGTTTTGACCCCAATTTCACAGTCCACTGAACATAGAAAATGATAGTGCGTGTGAGGCATCTGTACACTATGGACACATTCTTGTTTACCCTTGTTCTTAGGTTACAACTTAAAATCTCATTTTAAAGTACATGAAAGGAAAGATTTACGAGTAAATGAGTAATAGAGAGAAAATAATGACATTAAAGTCTCTAAACACAATAGCTCCAATAGAGCTATTGTTAGTTGAAGCCATATTATGTGTATCAGTGGAAATAAAAAGTAGAGGCAATGCCTAAAACACATAATTAAGTGTTTGATTGAAAGCTTTACATGTACTTTCAGACTATACAGAAGAGGGAAGAATACCTCCCGACTACCTGGTACAGGGGGGCAAGGCCCTGGGGTCACATCTGAAGTCTTGGACACAAAGAAAAGATGTAAGTGTTGATCACATTATAAAACATGTAGAATCATGATTGCTGTGTTAACTATAATGGTGGCTGTACAAATAATACCTGTGTTAAAGGACAGCAAAAGGGAAAGGCGTCCTTTCTAATACATGTATTTATACTCAAACTTAATTGAAAATAAAATGTAGCAGTAGGCTTAACATCATTTTAATCGTAAAAAATATATAAAAAAATAACAATAGAGAAAGAAATATAATTAATCTTCTGCCAAGACCATAATACAAATCTCAGTTATATCATAAAATATTTCATTAAAAAATGGAATTTTTATTATTTATGGATATGAAATTATGGAATAAAATTCTCTTAAAATGTGAAAGCAAATATTTTATTTTTGTAGTCTATAGTTAATATAGTGCAAATCCACTGGTTAATGCACATTGAAATAAGATTTCCTAGGTTTTTACAATTTGTTGCTACCTATTTTCTTCAAATAAGAAACATTGAATAGGTTAACAACTGCTTTCTTAAAATAATCAGGGTTAGACAGTGAATTTCGATAGATATATATAAAAAAGATAAATTTTGCTAGTTTTTTAGAAGATTTGTTTTAATATAAAGAATGAGCTTTATTCAATAAGTCGTAGATTTAAAAAAAGTATTATGTTGACACTGATAAATAAGCAGGTTTTAAAACCATTTTAAAGTATATTAGTTATTCGGCATTGTCAATTTTTTCAAATAAATGTTTGTTTGTATTGACCATTCATTTTCTTTGTGAGACTTCTGAAAAGCATATTAAAAAATAATGGAAGTTAAAATTTCTATAGGAACAATTTTTATTTTCACATAAATCATCAATCTTTAATTTTTCTTTGAATACAAAAACAGTTTAAGGTTTGCACCTAAAGAAAAAAAAGCATTGCTATAAATCAAGGCTTCCAAAACGGTCATATATTCCGGACATTTGTATAATGTCCGGTAAAAGTCCGGCTGGGCAAAGCATGAAACGGACATCTACTTTTTAGTTTTCAAGGCTTTCTTAAAGAGACGGTCATTTTAACATAATTCACGATCTTTTTGACCCAACCTTTTGCCTTTAACAGCCACACATTTCCGGTCATAAAAGTGACATGATCATTAAGTACTATCAAAACAACCCCTACTTTAATACCTTCTCATTTTAATCAAGGCTAATTAGTTGTCGAACAGCTGAAATTTACCTGTTCAGGTCACAGGTAAACTATTTTGAACCGGACATTGATCGGTCTATTCAAAGTTATTTTCTTACATTTCAGCGGTTTGCATCTAATAAATTTAGTCAAAAAGATTTAAATTATCAGAAATACGTTTACAAATATGATTTGATGGAAAAATTAAAAAGGTGAAAATGAAAAATCGTCATAACCACGTTGTTTGAACCAGAGACATGTCTCTGTTTGAACTAGTACACATGTGCGCAGGTGTGAAATTTAATAATGCATCCTAATTCCTTCAAAAAACGCTTAAATTGTCATTGATACCTTATCTCACGTTTATTTCGATCATTTTCTTGAAGAAATAACGTAGAAAGAGCTACTTACACTCATTCATGCTTTGTAAACGTACACGGAATTTACGTATCCGTCTCTGGTCCATGTTTTACCATTGTCAAGATAACATCCGGTTTAGATTTAAAACGAAAGTAAAGTTTTTGACAACGTTATTTTGCACAAATAAAGAGTCTAAGCAGATATAAGTACGCTGATGTTGCACACTTCGAATGATGCACTGCCAATTTAACAGTTTATGTCAGAACTTCGAATTTGAATCAAAGAAAGTTTAATATTGTTTTTTTTTTTAATGTCAATCATTCGAATGGCCAACTCGGCAACTGATTACCATAATTGCCTTTTATTTATTTAGTCTTAAGGGATTAAAATCGGGATAATATATAAAATGTCCGGCTGGCTAAAAATAATTTTGGAAGCCCTGCTATAAATATTTTAATTGCTTTTCATTTCATGCTAAAAGGAATAGGTTTACATATCGTCAATATCAACCATAAAATTCCTTCATATTTTGGTTTAGTAAAAATCCCTTATATTTTATGACAAAACAATGATAAAAAAAATTATAATTTTGGCACATTTGTAAAGTGGTGGTATTTTATGAATTCACTATGGTGTGCTTAAGTAATAAAAGATATAACTATGGCTGATTTAGACTTAACTACCAACAAGTTTTTGCATAAGATATAAGAAACCACAAGTATGAATAACAAAAATTTTAGTAAAATTTGTAATTTTTCAAAATGCATCTTTGTGGGACAAATTTATTTTGTTCTTGTCTGTTGCTTTTCAAATAACAAAGAATAGAACTTTAAAATACATTAAAACAGTAAAACTGGCTAAAACTGGAATGTTCTTATGCTTTTGAAGCTTTCAGCACTGTCTAAAGCAAACATTTACTGCAAATAAAAGATATGAATTTTTAAATTACAAATTTTAGAATGTAATTAAATTTTGAATTTTTAGATGTTTTACAAAATTGTTTAGATTAAAGTGTCAGATTTAGGCCTTTTTGGTCTGACTCCTTTAGATTAATTTAAAAGATAAAAACAATAATTAAACTTTGATAATTTATGAACTTTGTCTGCCTGTACTTGTACTGTTAAAGGGTTTGAATGAATTCTTGTCTCGCTATAAATATCTTCATTTATAATTTTCTTTTTCTTTGATGCTGACTTTACAGCTCAACAACCTCCATCTTGTGAGTTTATTTATTTACGGGCATATATATTTATCTTAATGTGTTGTGCTCGTGATTGCTTACCTATTTTCGTTCCCTGGTCACATGGGGATCATATGATACTTAGTACATAGCATGTGTTTATAGCCTGTAATAACCTTTTGACCTTTTTGGCAGGCTTACACTATAATTGCTATTTATAGAAGTAGATATTTTTTTTCCTGGAAAAGTAGTAGTTTTGTTTCTATTTTTAGAATGGTGGATAAGACACTTTGCTATGGCCTACTGCACTACTAATTGTGTATGATATATATATATATATTAATTGTTCATGTTTTGTAATTCTAATTATTATATTTATCTGTTTTTATATATAATCAAAAGTACTTGTGTTTTACTAAAACATTTATCATTTTTTTGCATTTCATCCTAAAGAAATGAACAGTTACATTGTTATATTTAAATTCGGATGTTTTCCTAAGAAATTTTAGTAGCTTTTAGATTTTCTGTGCTTTTAGACTGTTGGTTCTATTTTCTTTTCACTTGTACATTTCTTTCTTTCTATGCTTTATTTTCTGCACAAACTTGAAGAAAAAGCTATTTTTGAAATGAAGGCGACTGTTCATTGTAGTTCCTTTGATTGTGCATTTTCTTTCTATTTTTTATTTAATGCACAAACTGGAAAAAGAACTTTTTTTAAATGAGGTTAGGAATAAGTCTCAAGAAGCTGTACTTTATTAGAGAAACAGTCCTCCTAAATTTATTTGCTTTTCAATTATGAAAAATTAAAAAATAGAATGACTCAATTTGGTAAGTTACCTTGTTTGACTGACCAATTTTGTTTTTCGCTAACAGAGCTGTTGTTTTTTCATAACTGATGTATAGCTGTTACCGATGCAATCTATAAAACACCAAGCACAATGATAGGAAACCTATTCAGTAATTTTTCATTTGTTTTCTCATATTTCCATAGAATTGATGTTGTTTTTGTTTGTTTGAAATCACCACTTCAATTGTATTTTACAACTTTGACTTCAAAAGACTTGATTTCACATTTGACATCAAAGCTTTCGAATATTTATAATGAAATTCTTCCATTCTAAGCATAACATCTAAGTTATATCATAAGATAACAGATAGGCTTTATGTTTTGGAAATTCAACTGAATTTTTATGCCCCCGCCGTAGCGAAGGGGGCATTAAGTTTTACCCTTGTCCGTCTGTACGTACGTCCCAAAATTGGTTTCCGTTCTCTAACTTTAGTTTGCCTCAACCAAATGTTATGAAACTTATACACAATGCTAATTACCACAAAACACAGATCAAGTTTGAATTTTGGTGGCGTCACTTTTACAGTTCTAGAGTTATGCCCTTAACAAATTGAAAAATTGCAGTATTTTCGTTTCTGTTCTCTAATTTTAGTTTGCCTCAACCAAATGTTATGAAACTTATACACAATGCTTATTACCACAAAACATAGATCAAGTTTGAATTTTTGTGGCGTCACTTTAACCCTTCTAGAGTTATGCCCCTTTAGAAATGGAAAAATTGCTAAATTTTTATTTTCTTCTAAATATCAAGTAATTTTTATTAAAATTGGAGTTATCTTCCTTTGTCCATGATTATAGTTGTATCAACTACAATCAATGCTTTATACAATGCAATGTTTAATTTTGACTTCCACTGATAAAACGCAGATCAAGTTGAATTTGGGTAGTGTCTTTTTAATCATTATTGAGTTATGCCCCTTTATAAATTGAAAGATTGCAAAATTTTTAGTTTCCATTCTGTAACTTAAGTTTGCCCCAACCAAACATTATGAAACCTATACACAATATTCATTACCACAAAACTAAGATCAAGTACAAATTTTTTGTTTCTGTTTTCTAACTTTAGTTTGCCTCAACCAAATGTTATGAAACTTGTACACAATGCTTATTACTACATAATACAGATTAAGTACGAAATTTGGTGGCAACTCTTTTACCATTCTTGAGTTATGTCCCTTTATAAACATAATTTCGTTTCCGTTCTCTAACTTTAGTTTGTCTCAACCAAATGTTATAAAACTTATACACAACTGTTCTAGAGTTATGTATGTTTACAAAGAGAAAAATTGCTGAATTTTTAGTTTCTGTTCTCTACTTAAGTTAGCCTCAACCAAATGTTATGAGACTTACACACAATGCTTATTACCACAAAACACAGATCAAGTTCAAATTTGGGTAGCGTCACTTTTACCGTTCTTCAGTTATGTCCCTTTATAACTATATGATATGCAAGCAGGGGCATCATCTGTGTCCACATGTGGACACTATCCACATTTATTTTATTTGGACTGAAATTTAGAGGAGTCATTGGTAATAAGTTTTAAAAAAAATAGATTTAATTTTGTTTAATAGTCTGAAACACAGAAAAGGTCATCTAAGAGTTGAAGAATTTGATTCAAAAAATCTGATTGCTTGTACAATGTACTAAACAAAATGTTTATTCAATATGAGAGACATAGCAATTTTCCAAGGATCACATTTATAGTAAAAATAATGTCTTCAACTCAAAGTTTGGAGTCAACGACAGGTAACCATAAATAGTGTGAATAAAATATGCGGAGAATATGTCATTGAGATTGCAACTGAACAATTAACACCTTTTGTAGGTGAATTAATTTAAATATTTAAGAAATTTGCTCAACGTCTATTTCCCAGAAATTTACAAATATTTATGCCCCTACTGTAGTGGAGTGGGCATTCAGTTTTACCCCTTGTCAGTCTGTACGTCCCAAAATAAGTTTCCATTCTTTAACTTTAGATTGCCTCAACCAAATGTTATAAAATTTATACACAATGCTTATAACCACCAAACACAGATCAAGTTCAAATTTGGGTGGCATCAGTTTCACTGTTCTTGAGTTATGTCCGTTTGTAAATTGAAAAATTACAGAATTTGCCATAAATTTTCAAGCAGGGGCATCTGTGTCCAATGGACACATTCTTCATTTATTTAAATTACTTAAAACAACAGTGGCAAAGTTCCTGACCTTTGACAGTTACATGAGTTTGTAGCAGAGTTGCATATTGATTCCACTTTTGATAAGTGAAACACTGTTATTTAGCATAGATGGCTGTCAATTTAAAACCCTTTTTCAAATATATTTCGAGAATTATAAGAAGTCAAAACATGAAATGGTTTTTGTATTTTAGTTTCATGGTGAAGGGCTCCAAAATTTCCATTTCAGTATACTCATATGTATGAATATATGCATGTGCTTCAAGTTAAAATGGACTTGTTTGCTAATAATACTCTTAAACTTTATGCTTTTTCCATCGAGGAATATGATTACAACACACACTATTTAATTGTTAATCATTGTTCTATTACTGATACTGGTCTGATCAATTTAAATTAAATCATGACCTAGTCCAAAAATGATTTGGTATTGAAATAAATAATTTTTCAAGATAAAAAGTTTGATATAAGGGATCATTAGTCCCAGTGTTCTAGCTAGGATTTAAGGACAGAGGGGCACAGTTTTAAGATGAAGGTCATGTAACATTGATTCTTTACTGACAATGACAGCTTGGTCAGGTTTATAGATACTGAAGGCAGAGGGGAGCTGCATCCCTCTATTTTGGTCTAGCTAGGACACTAATGACTACCAGGTAAGCTCTGTTTTTCTGTTTTCTGGTACAGCAACCTTGATTTCCAGATTTTTGAAACACAGGCTTTAATGATAATTTTATCTGTTTTTGTCCATCCATTTGTTTGTCTGTCTGTCTGTCACTTTGTAATCATAACTCCTCCTAAACAAGGGATGGATTATAATGAAACTTATTAAACTGTATGGGTTTTGCTCATTATTGAAGGTCGTAATGTGACCTATAGTTGTTAACTTCTATGTCATTTGGTGTTTGATGGAGAGTTGTACCATTGGCAATCATACCACATCTTCTTTTTTTTATATTGAAAGAGACTCGTAAGTACATAATGACATTGTGCGCTTTTTTTATTTTTTCGTCTTATGGACTACTGTGATTTTCCATAGAAAACAGACTAGATGGCGTATTTTAAAAAAAAGGGATGGGGGGGGGCATTTTGCATCAGATGATCCTCTTTTCTATTTGTAGTAGTTAATTTTCTCCATATTGTTGTTTGTCACATGGTGTGGTATATGTCATCATCACTTTCTAATTTTGATGAAATTTTTAGAAAATAATATTAAAAATAAAAATACACGAAAAATATTTATTCATACAGTAATCTTTGTTTTTGTTTGTTTTTGGTGAATTTTACAATGTTTTTATGTCTACAAAATCTCTTCTCAAATATGCCCCCATAAACTCAGCTGATGTTATTGACTTATATACATAAAGGCCCAATTATTGATCGCCTTCATTAAGAAATTACTTTCTTGAAACTGCTTGTAAATACTGTAAGTAAAGTTGTTGGATATGAATGTCTTTTATTCCTGATTAAGATAAATCCAGAAAAGCACTTTGGATGCAGAAAGTTAATAAGAGTATTATTTTCTATTTTTACATTGTTTCATGAATTACTAGTTAAGCAATTTAAATGTTAAGAAAGGTCCAGAATACATCAACATGTTAAATTATATCACAACATAAAAAGGAGGACATGATTTTTATACATATACATATCCAAGGTAAAATTGAGAATGGAAATAGGGAATGTGTCAAAGAGACAACAACCCAACCAAAGAGCAGAAAACAGCCCAAGGGCACCAATGGGTCTTCAACACAGCAAAAAATACCGCACCCAGAGGCGGGCTTCAGCTGGCCCCTAAACAAAAATGTGTACTAGTTCAGTGAAAATGGACTTCACACTAAACTCCGAAACATAAAAATGAACTAAAATTAAAAAACATACAAGACGAATAAAGGCCAGAGGCTCCCAACTTGGGACAGGCACAAAAATGCAAGGTAACATCTTTAAGTCATATGATGAAATAATTAGGAAGCAAGATATCAAATAAGGAAAATTAATATTTAAATTGATGCAAAAATACAAAAGTGGTAATGATGAAGATAAAGCTATTCATTCATGTGTATTATAATATATAATATTGTTAATAATTTCTACAACAATACTAAGAAATTGAACAAAAAAATATACTGACATGTTTTTAATGAAAGTTTAGAGCAATGTCATTCTTAATTCTAATGTTGGTTTTAGCTATAATTTATCCTATGTTTTGTGCAGTTTGTGAAAGACGCCAAACATGACCTTCCAGAACATGTGCAATATGGCCGTCTGCTGAAAGAACTGTCAAAAGAAATCAAGTCTATTGAGAATACGGTAAGATTTGTTAAGAAAATGGTAAAATTGTGTTGGGTACTATTTCAAATTTAAAAAAAAAAATTTTTGTTGAGGTTTTTGAACAAATGTAGTAAAAAAAAGATTTAAATTTTCCTATTGACCAATTGTACTTGTAAGTTTTGTTTCATGTATCCATTTTATTTGCCCTTGGTTGTATTCTTTTTTAGATATCTTATTGTACAACAAAAATTATGTTAAAAGTTACCATACCATATCTAGGATACTGTGTGAGATAAACTCAAACAGGGACTAATCTTCAGTGTTCTCCCCAGGATTTTTTTAAGGCGCAAAATTCAAGGGCGCGTAACTCTTTTTTTTAGAGTGATCTGAAGCAATAAGTCATAAATCATGACATGCAATATGAATTATAATGCTTTGTGTTATGTGTTTAATAATGCAGAGTATTAATGAATTACAAGAATATATATATGAAATAAATTGATTTTAAACACAAAAGTTATTTATATTCAGTCAATTAAAGAAGTCAAAATATAAATATTCATCTCTACTCTCTGCTCCTTCTAGGGATATTGTTTTTAGATAGTGTTATTTTGTTGGACAGTCTGTTCCTCAACTTTGTCTTTATCCTCTTCAGGGTTAAAAATTAAACCCCCACTCACAATAACTTTTGCTTATACCCCCTTTAACATTTCTAAGCCATGAAAACTCAGTCAGCCACTTGTCATTGAAACCAGAAACATGGTGCTTGCTTTTATCAATTGCTAAAACTTGAGCTTGGTTGGGATTAGGAGAAGCAATGAAATCTGCTTATACTGACAGTGTAGACGGAGGTGTATTCCCCTTTTCATTAGAAGTCATTGGTCTGAAAAAAACTTCTACTTCCATCATCTACCTTTTACTTATAATTCACCCCTTTGTTATTTGCAGAGAACATGTTCATTCAGAATTAATAAAATCGAATATGGTTAAGATATTTGGTATACAACTTTTTAAAACAATTTTTTTTTATAAATGAACAGCTGACCAGTTTCCGTAGTTTTACATTACGCTTCCGTGCGTATTATTGTTTAATACTATCTTTGGCAGATAGATATAAACGAAATTTTACAAATTCGTTTAAGTTAAAACCATTGAAATTATTTACCAGTGACATTATACAGAAGCTGTGGCGATACTGTACCCGTTTTGATTGTCACATATTTCCCGACGCACGGATTCACGATCGATGTTCAATGATCATTTTATTTCTAAAAATATGACAGTTTCAGACGAATTTACCTTGCAAGCAACATTTTTTCATTTTCTATTAAAGTAAATCACTCCTCGTTATCTTTAATCAAACTTTATTTTAATTTTTTCAACTAATAATACTTTCTTTCATTCATAGTTTTCATCGTAAATATCTTTAGCAATGTGTATTCAAATTTATCATGTGTATTCAACACGTTCATTGGTCGTGTTTAAATAGATTCTTCTTCTCGACCAATGAAACAATTCGTTATTTAAATGGTCAAGTGATCACACACACGATGCGTAAATACAATGTATTTGCGATCTATTTCTTCAATTTCTGCACTGAAGTTTTTAAAAAATTTTATTTTCTTCAAAAAATATCTATCTTTTTGATGATCACTTAAGCTATTACCTGATAACATAGTCCGATAAGGCTGAGATAAGCGTGGCTCAGGTAAAACTAATTATCAGTTATTGCGTAACACTGACCGACCCATCAGCGGTGATCAGTTACTTGACAATTTTAACCAACATTTATGATGAAAATGTAAAAATTAACACGCTGCGGGATCAAGTATTAAGGGACAGCGGCCAATTAAGACGCTGCGGGATCTACAAAAATATTATGAAGGCGCTGCGGTACCGCAGCGTCATATCGGCCTGGGGAGAACACTGATCTTGTACTGCTTGATTTGTATAGGACCTTTTATATGATCTTCTGGTAAACCATAATTATAATATAATTCTCCCACACAGTCAAATTACTTTCTGCAATTTATTTAAAGTCTCTATTTTTTTCTAAACTTTGTAATTGTTAAATTGTTTTTGGTTGTAGATAAAAAGCAGCCCTGTAAAAGTGAAAGTAAAGAAAAAGAAGAAAAACAACATGCCAACACCTAAACAGATGGTGAATATTGATCTGTTACATCAGCACACTCAGGAGAAATTACAGGAGTTACAACATGATGAAAAGATAGGGGTGTATAACTTTAAAGTAAGTTTTTTATTTATACTTAATTTTCATTCATTGTAATCTCCCAACTATTTCATGAAAATGATCGAGAAAAGTCTTTTCCCATCAAAATTTTTTTCAAATCATTATTTCTCAAAAACAAGCACATGTACATGTCTTTCTTTTTCCATAATTTGGATGTATAATAATTAATTTGTAAATTATAAGTTTGGGATTAATTTATTATGTTTACATTTTCTGGATTGATGAAAAATTGTAAGTTATAAATTTTTTTGTGGATTCTTAATTTCATGGTTTTGGCATATTTATCATACAAGCCAATATGATATTTTAAATTTGTTCTTCACTTAATATGTTGTTCAACTACATGTATGCAAACTAAGTCCACAATAATTAGTTATATATACTTATAATGATGATTCCACAGCGGATGTCCTTTAATGTCCATACCTACATGTATAAGGCAAATGTAATTGTTATTTCAGGATGAAGAAGATGAGAACACTCCAGCTTCTCTGAAAGTAAGAATTCCTAAAGCAGGGGCTTATATGGAAATGAAACAGGAAGTAAAATCTGATCCAGATGATCTCTCAGGGAAATCTGTGGGTTTGAAGCTCAAGGTGTCTAATGGGAAAATTATTAGGTAAGAAATATTTCATTATGAATTACGATGAAGGTTAATTTGTTTAGGATCCGTAACACTATTCTTCAGCCATAAGGTCTTACTATGCAAATATCCATAAATCAAATATAAGACTTTAATAGATTGTTCTCTTTGACGAAAGGCATACATAATGTTTTAGTAGTGTTTCTTAGTCTTGTGTTTTTTGTGTGCTAAAATTTGACTTTTGCAGCTATCAGATTCAATCAAACAGTAATTTCAATGCTGATCAGAAAGTGCTCAGTCTTTGACCACTTTTCATTGGAAAATGAAGTTGTTGATGTTTTTTTCAAGAAATAGTTATGGAAAGTTATATTATCAAGGATTTTTACTTTTAATTTTTGCATTAATTTTCGTAAACAAAGATTTTTGTCAAGCCTGTGACTTTTGTTGCAAAAGCAAGACATAGCGATCCTACATTCCGTTGTTGTCGTCGTCCACAAATATTCACTCTGTGGTTAAAGTTTTTGAAATTTTAATAACTTTCTTAAAACTATACTGGATTTCTACCAAACTTGGACAGAAGCTTGTTTATGATCATAAGATAGTATCCAGAAGTAAATTTTGTAAAAAAAAAAATCCTGTTTATCTGTATTTTACTTTTAAATGGACTTAGTTTTTCTGCCAGTTAACATTACATTCACTCTGTGGTTAAAGTTTTGAAAATTTTAATAACTTTCTTAAACTATCCTGGATTTGTACCAAACTTGGACAGATGCTTGTTTATGATCAAAAGCTAGTATCTAGAAGGAAATTTTGTAAAAACTTATTTCCTGTTTTTCCGTATATTACTTATAAATGGACTTAGTTTTTCTTCCAGTTAACATTACATACAGTCTGCAGTTAAAGTTTTTAAAACATTTATTAGATTCATAAACCACCCTGGATTTTTACCAAACTGGGTAGAAGCTTCTTACAATCAAAAGATAGTATCTAGAGAAAAATTTTTAATAATTTTTTCCCTATTTTTGTTGAGCCTGCGACTAACAGCAAAAGTAGGTGAGACACTGGGTTCCGCAGAACCCTTTCAAATTTTTATATAAGTCGGAAGATAGAGTTAATCTCTGCTTTTGTTTGTTACAGTGACATAGGTAAAAAAAAATCTCAGGGAACTAAAAAATTTCAGCCATTGGTCAGTGGTGATGCAGGTGCTGATGAGGATAGTGATGTAGATACTCTGGTTGTGGATGAGAATCCTAAACGTGGGAAACGGCAATCAGCAACTTCACCATCGTCTGCCTCAACAATGAAACCAGGATCTCTCAAGCTCAAATTATCTTGTAAGTGTGATTCAGGTTAACAGCTGAAACTGCTTTGTTAGAGTTACCAGAATCTATCAATCTAATTTTTTTGTAATGAATAGCTCATATTATGTTGTTTTGACCTTGAACAGTACTAAAAGGATGATCCATTCACATTGAAGCTGGATGAATGCTGGTGATTTGAAGTGACATCACTGTGATTACAACTCTGTGAAATTATATTGTAGATTCATAATATTGTGAGATACCAATTTTTGTGGATTTCATAGGTACATGTGAACCACTTAAATGTCCAAGGAAATAAAAATTTCTACTTTTGTAAAACCAAGAATTCATATATCCACAAAAATGCAATGTTTTCTGAATCTAAGAAAGTTTGTACCCACGAAAAATTAATGAATCCACAGTATACAGGTATTAAAGAGCAAATCACCTACAATTATTAGCATTTATTGTGAAGAATCTCTACAAAAAAATGATTTATATAAAACCATCTGGTGTATACTGGTCCGAGGACAGTGTATAGCTTGCTAATTTTTTTCATACACTTTCCAAATTTATTTCTTTATATTTTATGCATGAAATATTAATTAAGGGGAATTTTTATGTTAGAAGGGATTTGGTCAAGTTACAGAAGGTAAAAAATTAGTAGGTGTGAAGCTGTCAGAGTGAATTTTAGACCCCCTTAACATAGAATTGTCCATATTTTGAGTTAGAGCTGGTAGACTTTTCTTTAATTTTGATATTATTTGTCCCAAAAGTGGTATGCTACACGGTAAAAATCTTTTGGAGAAAGAGGAGGTGCAACTTTTTTAATTTGAATTTATTATCTAAAAGAAATGCACTACGAAATAACTGTTTTCTCCGGCCTTCTGTTAGTTTTATTTGTATACTGCAACTACACTTTTGCCAATCTATAAACTTTTATTTTAGTCCATGGTAAACCAATGCCGCCAGGCACGATTAGTCAAGAAAGTAGTCAGGAGTCAGAAAGTACAGCAAGTCAGAGTGAATCTGAGGGTCTTGAGGACCGAACCAACCTTCCAACAATAAGAGGGGGACTCAATGGTAGTATAGCAGATATTCTGGAGGCTAGTGGCTATGGTACAGAGACCACATTTACTGTTGATGAGGATGTTGGGTAAGTACCATCTGACGTTACTGGTCTTGGACCAAAATACAGTAGTGGACAAAACCTAATATAAGTCAGAAAGATATTATGGGGCTCTGTATTTCTCTAAAATATTTTGGCAATTTGATATTTATGCATTACATATCCTGTAACCACCATAATTAGCATATTCTGGAAATTAAAAGACCACCCTGACTTGCACCTTAACAACCAGTATGACCCTTAACAAAGGCCCAGTAATTAATGATTTGTACAGATAAATCTGACATCTTTTAAAAACACTGTTTATGATGTAGCTTACAGTGATACATTTTAGAACCTTCATTTTTATAAAATCCTTTTACAGGAGTATAACTAGATATTTTTGAACAGGGATTTCATATGCTGTTTGGTTCATTTGGTTTGTTCTTCATTCAGCCAATCACAAGCCCCTATTTAAAAGACAAATGAAAATGATTAGTTTATTTGTGTTTTGCAGAAGAGCCTCTCCAAGTATGAGAGAAGCTATTCAGGGAATGCTCTCCATGAGCCAAATGAATGAAATTGAATTGTTTTCCAAGGGAGGTAAATCTAGACAACATCAAAGATCTCAACTAGTTATTGATGAAGAAGAAAGATTGCAGAATTGTTACAAAGATGATGAATTCAGTAGGTTTATATCTCACTCTGTTCATAATTGAAACTATTAAAATTTAAACATGTTATTGATGAAGAAAAAAGATTACACAGTTGTTACAAAAATGACAAATTTCGGTAGGTTTATATCTCACTCTGTTCATAATTGAAACTATTAAAATTTAAACTAATTTACACCTCATTCTATTCATAATTGAAACTATTGAAATTTAAACTAGTTATTGATGAAGAAAAAAGATTACAGAATTGTTACAAAGATGATGAATTCAGTAGTTTTATATCTCACTCTGTTCATAATTGAAACTATTGAAATTTAAACTAGCTATTGATGAAAAAGAAAGATTACACAGTTATTAAAGATGGGGAATTCAGTAGGTTTATATCTCAATCTGTTCATAATTGAACTTTATGTACAATGTTAGTGGATAATTTCCTTCTTCCAATAAGTGTGTTTCTATATGTTATATCAACAAAATGCACAAACCTATCAAGACAAACAAAATTATACAACATGTATATGTCTATATATCTACTTGGACTGGATAATTGGCCTCATCTTAACTACTCTGACAAACAAGATACAAGTCTTGTTTCGTTTCATTTTCAGCAACTTACTGACTCCAATTTGAAAGTTATTAAGTGAGAAAAAGAGTCATGATATTGGTGATGCACCTGATTTGAGACTACTGGATTCCTTTCTTTGTGGGGTTCCCTAACACTTAAGGGACATAACTCTTTATACTTTGTAGATGAATCTCTATAAAATCTGTATATCTGCATTAAAGAGATACTACTGTGGATTCATTTATTTTTGTGTGTACCAATTGTCATAGTATATCACGTTTTGGGTCAAAAATGGGGATAAAAATGTGCAACATGAAAGTTAGATATACACATAAATTTCCAGATAAATAGTAGGTTTGGTATCAAAATTTAAAAAAAAAACTCGTTTTATGGAAAGTCTTTAAGAAACATAGGTGGTTATAGATCTGAGATGAAGACATTTCTTTTACTGTTACAGTTTATCCAGACCTTGAAATGTCTGATGAGGAAGATGGTGTTAAAGGAAAGAAGTCAAAACATGATGATAATTGGAATCCTAAAGGTATGGTATTTATCTAAAAATCAATGTAGTTTGCAATATCTGAAAAGGGCGAACATACAATCTCAGACAACACGACAAGTTCAAAAATCAGTTTTTTAAAAAAACCTAACATAAAACCATATTACTTGCTTGAGATTGATTGATTGGCTATTGCCTAAATTTGGGTCAGCCAAAAATAGCTATTGGGCAACAATGGCCCATTCCTAATACTTTCATACAATTCTGTAATCTAATTTGCTGAGGTATTCCAAAAAGAAAATTTTATTTCTGTATAAAATGCAAAATCTATGACGGCACATGCTTCTCATGACAACATAAAAACAATGCATAGAAAACACATGAAAGAACTTTTGATTGAAATAGTAATTTCATGGTTGTTAGATAAAAATATTATATAAGAATTGCATGCTTCTTTTTGTAGTTTTATAGGCTTCTGGTCTACATACAAAATGTAATTCAATGTTTTTACACCCCAATAGAATAAGAAAAAAAGCATTCAACTCTTTTAAGTAATACATAAAAATGCTATACATATACATGATACACATTAATTTAGAAAATAAAAGAAATAATTATTGTGGTTATATGTTTGTTTATTTGTAATAATTTGAGACTATGCTTTTTATACGACCGCAAAAAAATTTTGGGGTCCTATATTGGTATGACGTTGGCGTCGTAGTCGTCGTCGTCGTCCGAAGACACATTGACTTTCGCACTTTAACTTTAGTTTAAGTGAATGGATCTCTATGAATTTTTACCATAAGGTTCAATACCACAAAAGGAAGGTTGGGATTGATTTTGGGGGTTATGGTACCAACAGTTAAGGAATTAGGGGCCAAAAAGGGGCCAAAAATAAGCATTTTTGTAACTTCCAGCCATAACTTGTGTGTTAGTGTATGGATCTCTCTGACATTGTACCACAATGTTCCATATCACAAAGGGAATGCTGGTATTGATTTTGGGGGTAATTGCCTCAAAATTTTAGGAATTAGGGGCCAAAAAAGGGGCAAAAAACAAGCATTTTTCTAGTTTCATGACAATAACTTGTGTGTAAGTGTATGGATTTTTCTGAAATTGTACTACAAGGTTCCGTATCACAAAGGGAAAGCTGGAATTGAGTTTGGGGGTAATTGCCCAAAACGTTTAGGAATAAGGGGCCAAAAATAAGCATTTTTCTAGTTTCCAGACAATAACTTGTGTTTAAGTGTGTGGATCTCTCTGAAATTGTACTGCAAGGTACCATACCACAAAGGGAAGGCTGGGATTGATTTTGGGGGTATTTGCATCAAAATTTTAGGAATTAGGGGCAAAAAAGGGGCAAAAAACAAGCATTTTTCTAGTTTCAGGACCATAACTTGTGTGTAAGTGTATGGATCTTTATGAAATTGTACTACAAGGTTCCATATCACACAGGGAAAGCTGGGAATGAGTTTGGGGGTTCATTGCCCTAAACATTAGGGATTTGGGGCCAAAAAGGGGCCAAAAAAACAAGCATTTTTCTAGTTTCCAGACCATTACTTGTGTTCAAGTGTATGGATCTCTCTGAAATTGTACTGCAAGGTACCATACCACAAAGGGAAGGCTGGGATTGAGTTTGGGGGTGATGAATCATAAGGGGGTTCTAAAAATTTGGGGGGGGGGGGTTTCCTTTTTTTCCTTTTTTTTTCTTTAAAATTTTCCATTTTAAATTGGTTATTTCTGATTTATATATAAAAGCAAATAATAATGATATGGTTTGAATAGGTAAATTAAAAACTTATAAGTTCTTAGACCACATTCACTCGGTGTTAGAAACTTATGCTGTGTCAAATATTTAATCACAATCCAAATTCAGTGTGTATCAAGCTTTTGAATGTTGTGTCCATACTTGCCCCAACTGTTCAGGGTTCGACCTCTGCGGTCGTATCAAGCTGCGCCCAGCGGAGCATTTTATTGTTGTTTTGTTGAGATATTTTTAAAGTCTATACAATATTTCAATTTAAGGACTATTCTTTTTAAACATTTTCCTAGTCATAATTTCTATGAAGTTTGAAAAGATTTGGCCTTGCAGAATTGGAGGAAAAGAATTTCTAAATTTATGAGTCAGAATAGACAGTTGCTTCTTTCTTTTCATTTCTTTGCATCTTAAAATAAAGTAGATGGGGCATCCACAAGGTCAGAAGACAGTATAATTTTGTGGACAGTTTCATTAAATTCAGTTAGATGACATTTTAATCTAATATAGTTTGAAGGAATCGTAATGAATTCTTTTTTGTTCATATTTGTACCTTAAACCATCCAAGACATTTTTAAGATTCTGATTATTTACTTTAATATATATCATTATTATAAAATAGTGTCAATGGCTTATTGCACATTTTTATGCCCCACCTACGATATCAGTAGGGGCATTATGTTTTTTGGTCTGTTCGTTCGTCCGTCTGTCTGTCCATCTGTTCCACTTCAGGTTAAAGTTTTTGGTCAAGGTAGTTTTTGATGAAGTTGAAGTCCAATCACCTTGAAACTTAGTACACATGTTCCTTATGATATGATCTTTCTAATTTTAATGCCAAATTAGAGTTTTGACCCCAATTTCACTGTCCACTGAACATAGAAATGATAGTGTGAGTGGGCATCCGTGTACCATGGACATTCTTGTTTAAAATTAGAATAATTTTAAGTATTTATCAGTAAGAAATTGCTTGCACACAGAATCTTGTGATATCAAACTTTACAAAATCATGTAGACTGAATTGTTTATTTGGTCCATTTGTTCTCTGTCAAGGTAGGGTAGGTGTCTATTATTATAATATTGTCTGTTAATTTTTTCAAAAATTTTGGTAGTTTTAATATATTTTTATTTATATTTAAATACTGTCAGACTTGATATTTTGATTTTTTTTCTTTCAGCTCGTGTACAAGTAACAATTCCTAAGGGAGATAGGCCACACAGAGAGGGGGTACGGAAGGAGGCAGTTGAACAGATCTTAGCAGCCGCAGCAGCAAAACCAGCTGCAATACAGGTTCTTATTTTCTGAAATACATTGTCAAGTCTTATTAGGAAGTCAACTCAGACATGCATGGACATGTTGGAACTTAAAATGACAGGTCATGGTATTGGATGCTGTAAAACATTTTTGAAGGCACAATTTTTAGTTAAAGTTCCTTTAGCTGTGTTAAGATTTGCCTTATAACATAACTGGTATTGTTATTTTCAAGGCTGATGATGTTTTGTCCTGGAAGAGAGACATAGCGATCCAACATTCCAGCTTTGACTGCAGTGTCAACATTAAGGTTCATTCTGGTTTTTTTTACATCAATAACTTTGTCAAACCTTCATTGATTGGGACAGAAGCTGCATACTGGAAAATCTAAAAAAAACAATTCTTCAGTTTTTCGTATTTTACTGATAAAAGATTTTTTTTAGCAGTTAATATAGAATTTAATGAATCTTTTCCTGAAGCTTATAAATGATAAGAGGAACATTTTTGAAACTATTTATTTTTTTGTCTCAGCAAGACGGAGTCAAAAACCGAGAAATAGGTATGCTGTTTCCGGCGTGGTCTGCAGCTGCGGCGTCAACAATGTATTAGTTTGTGATTAGGTCTAGTCATGGTGAACCACTAGTGGTAGGTCAATGATATTTGGTATGCAGTTGTCTTAGCATTGGCACATCTCATTACCATGGAGATTATTTGGCCCCGCCCCCTCAGTCAAGGTCTATTGACTTGGAAACTTTTGCTTAGTTTTCATGTATTAGTTTGTGATTGGGTCAGTTTAAGGGGAACCGTTAGTGGTAGGTCAATGATAATTGGTATGCAGTTGTATAAGCATTAGCACATCTCATTTCCATCGAAAATATTTGGGTCGGCCCCATTAGTCATGGTCTATTGACTTCGAAAATTTTGCTTAGTTTACATGTATTAGTTTGTGATTAGGTCAGTTCAAGGGGAATCATTAGTGGTAAGCCAATGTTAATTGGTATTCAGTTGTATAAGCATTAGCACATCTCATTTCCATGGAGATTGTTTAGCCATGTACCTTCAGTCATGGTTCATTGACTTTGAATATTTGCATAACTTTCATGTTAAAGTATTGCTATTTTAATTTCAACATTTGCTTTATCAAAATTACAAAAAGGCAAGACATATCTTTGTGATAACAGTTTATATTTTCCGATATTTTTTATTGATAAATGGATTATTTTTTTTAGCAGTGAACATTTAGACACAGTCTGGGATTAATTTTTTTATCATCAATTAATTTGTCAGACATTCATGGAATGCTATGTTACTGGGACAGATGCTTCTTCTTGATCAAGAAATAGCATCTAAAGAAATAAAGTTGGAATTTTTTAATTTTTTTTCCTGTATTTTATTAATATTTTCTATATGTATTATTTATAGAAGCCAAAGAAGATAAGAAAGAGAAGTAAATCAGAAACTTTACCAGAACCCATATCTATGCCAGGAACAGCCTTATCATCAAGTTCAGGTTCAGCCTTCCGTCCAAATCTGTCAAAACCTCAACCTACGACACCAACCAGCCCAGAAAGTCCTACCAAACGTAAGTCTTCAAGACTACTGTTTAATAAAATCATATTGAGCTAACTTGCATATCTTAAGCTATAAGAAATAAGTGGTTTTTGTGTATTAGCTGATTGTAAGGTGTACTTTTTCGGTCTGTGTTCATCTGATTTTTTCTTCATTTTCATTGTCATTAGTTTTTGCGGTAAGGTCTGTTTTCTCAGATACAATAAGCAATAGGTCAACTATATTTTGTGTATTTTATGATTGTGAGCTGCACATGATTGTCTTCCTGGACCTTGGCTGATCTTTACCTTATTTTCATAGTTTATTGACACTGGAAGTTTAAAATTTCAGCATAAAGTTTAAGCGTAAAGCAGCTGAGACATTGCAACATGTGTACTCTCAAAGTAATTGAAAACTGGAAACAAACAAAATATCTCTTACATGACTTTCTTATAATGATGTCTCCACAGATTGTTTTTTGATGACAAATTATATTGTTTCTCTTTTTTTTTCAGCCAAGAAACCTAAAAAAGGCCAAGCCACAGCCAAACAAAGACTTGGAAAAATTCTGAAAATTCACAAACTAGGAATGTTTTAACTACCTCAAAATGTTCTAAGGAAGTGTGTCTGTGTGTGTGTGTGTGTGTTTGTTTTTTGTATTAAAATTAAAACATCTATGCAATTTTAAATTTCTTTGGTGAAATTTGAATATATATCAATGAAGTGAATGTTAGTTTTAAAAGAAAAAGAAGTAGATGTCAACATTATCAATTTTAAGGCATCACATTTATGCATTTTTTCAAAATTTTTATTGAAAGTTTCGGTGCTCTCTATTTGCAATTATTTCAAGAGATATCATTTTAAAAAAAAGTTTTGTTTGAATTTGAGTGAATCCTACTTGTTGCAAGAAAACATATAGATATTAAAGTTTCAGTTTCCCTTTAAAAAATTCTGTTGTATTTTTTGAATGATATAATAATTATGCCATAAATGAAATTCTATTTTCATTCTATCTTCAAATTCCAAGGGTCAAAAGTTTAGACATGAATAAAATATTTTTTTGTTTCAAAGTTAAAATGACGTAACTTTGTCTAACGTAAAGTTTACAGTATTAATGGAGATTTTAAGTGTATAGCCAAAATGCTGAAACTCACATGTTTGATACATGTAATTTATTATAACTTATATCTTAAAACTATCAACCAATACACTAAAATGATTAATAAATTTTTAATTTTATTTTGTGGGGGATTCGAGTTGCCTATTAATTGATTTATTTAAATTGCAGTAGGTTTTGAATGTGTTCTTTTTGCAATGACTATTTACTATCAGTTAAAAAACACTAACAAAATAAAGTTTTAATCAGGTGACCTTATTTGCTGTTCAACACATGGTTGTGAACATAATGAATGTCAGTATTTTTGCATATCATTTTAATAATAATGAAATTGAAAATTTAGATGAATTAAACTCTACGAGGTCAAAGATATGTGGGCATTCTAACTAAATGTTCAAAAGTTCAAAAAGGTGTAGTAAAATGGTGTCCATAAATAATATCTGCATCGAAAATGCAAAGGTCTTTTTGAACCCATTTATGCACTTGATTTACAGAGATTTTTAATATCTTAAATGCATTTATTGACTTTTTAAATTTTCGTTTCAATTTGTTTAAATTATCTGTAATTAAGAGCCCAATAACTTGAATAGAAAAAACATACACTTGATTCTTGTTTTTATATTTTTCCATTTTGAAATCATTGCTTCTTACCCCCTAAAAAATGGAAAGAAGTACACATTTTAAGTGTTAAAAAAAATTGTTGATAGTTCTTCGTTTTTCTTGGAGGGAATATTAATATTAAAATAAAATTATGAAATACACACACACACCATTGATAGGCATTGTGCTATAAGTATTCTCAGTATTAAAAGATCTCAACCATTATCTCATATCAGGTATACATAGTTTAACATTTGCCAATATTTTTTCAGTCAAAATAAATAAAAGTATTTTCATAATTTTATCACTGAATAGATTGTTATATCATGGAAATTTTAAAACAAAGTATAGATTGCAATATTATTTATTTTTATTTATTTCACTGTTAGGACTATTCCATTAATTAGATGTTGGAATTGGAATTGGAAGAAATTTTTTATTTTTGACATGGTTTGTATGACATGTGTCATTTGTGATAGTATATGTAGGTTTTCAGAGTTCTCAAAAAGTGTTGGTCTGAGGGTCCTCACCTCCAAAACTTTACTGAGGACTGACACAATTTTGGTATTTTGTAATAGAAATAATAGCGAGAACCAGCAGATTTTCTTCAAGGACCACCAGGTAAAAAAATATTTGAGAAATCTGCGGTTTTGGGAGGATTTTGGAAGTCCTTTTGTACCCTTCCATATCTGTTTTTAAGGAATAGCCCTAAGCAGTGAGAAGTGAACAGTGCAATAATCTAGGGTAGCTAAAATAAATTTGTTTTATTGGATAAAATTAAACTATGCAGCATAAGGCATTAAACAATATTAATATAGAATTATTTCACCTAAAATCACAATCTGTTAATCAATTTATGTGGTCGGTTAACCTTTAATTTTATCACAAGTTATTTTTACAGTTGGTTGGTATTTAAATCAATATTTAACATGTGAAACAGTTTTATACCAGAGATCTGTAGTTAGATTTGCATGGTTTATATTTTAGCAGATTCGTTACAATACTCAAATGATATCAAATAGCTAATGATAGAAAAAAAAAATGAAATTTACTACATGCAAAATAATTATAAAATTATGTATGATTTATGGTGTTATATATAGAGAGTATAAATAAGTGCATTATCATCTTTGTAAACATTTTCTTAACCACTAGTTAATTTTTTTTTATTCTGACAGTATATTTTGTTTTTCTGTATATGAAAAGATTTTTGTACTGCATTTTTGTTAAAATTGAAGATGTTTGTTTTAAAATTCTTTTAGGTCATGCTCTATTATTGTTTTAACATTGGTAGGCTTTATATTTGTTAATATCTTTACACCAAGAGCACATGAAAGTATTATTTGGAATCTAATATTACAAATATGGTAAATATTTAAGTAAAATCAGATTTAGATATATAAGGAAACTTTTCCCTTTTCTTCCCCTTTAGTAGACCATGACATGATGATGTTGATTATTCTTAAAAGTGTTAAATAGGGTGAAGAATATTTCTTAAAATTTTCTTCTTACCAGCTAAATTATGTATTTTAATGGGATGAAAATATTGAATGCAAAAGACCTTAAAACAATAAGTTGTGTGCATGTGTAAAAAAAATTGTGCTAATTAGAAGCCAACTTTGTTATTACATTCCAGAAATGCCACACCATATTAGAAATAAACATTTAACTATCTCTAGTTGAGAAATATAAATGGTAGAATTTATATTGACATTTTAGGGGTAAAGTTTTCATTGTTTTTAGATCGGGAGTGATTTCTAATGGACGAACTTTAACCTTTGATGTGTTATATAATTTTACTATAAGTGGTTAATTCTTTCTGTTAATTTTACAGATTTGAATAAAATAAAGTGGCTTGCTATTTTTTAAATGTGCAATGAATCTTATTAAAGGCATGGAATTAAGTTTGTTAAAGAGTTTTCTTTGTATACAATTAAACTGCTGATGTTTTAAAAACATACATCAAAACACAAAATTACTTTTTTCAGTTCTTTTAAGGGGAGTACAGAACATTTTTTGTATTCAAGTAAAATAAACTGTAAATTTTCTGGCAATTTATCAAGTAAACATTTTACAACTTTTTTTAGGAAAACAATCAAAACATATTTATCCAAGTTCAGTTGGCTTAACAATTGATGTTAAAATTACTTGTTTCACAGTTTTTGCCTTTGCTTTATAGATCTGGTCTTATTCATGATAAAATGTATGCTTGTTTTTGATTTTTACCATTAGATTAGTTTATCAGTATTTATATGTTTTTCAGTGTTTTGATCCAGTAATACTTTGTTCTGTTATAGTGATGAGTTATTATTGTAGTCCTATTTATAGATTTTAACAGTATTTTTTGTGGTTGTTAGTTAATGTATAGTGTTTAATTATTATTGGTATGAAGGTAAAATTTTAGAAGTAGACTGTAGTAATGAACAGAAGGTAGTTATCTCCCTTTAATTATCAATATTGGTAATTATCTCCCTTTATTAAATATGACAGTCTAGCCAGTCAGAATTTCCCCGTATGGACTCTTCGACTAGTTGTAAAGTGGAATCCTGCTGTGTATATTTGACAGTCAACACACAAACGACAGGCCAGGTTTTAATAAAAATCCAAGCCTAGGTGGTGAGGTTAGCAGAATAGCATGTGGTCTTAGGTGTTCAGGTTACCAGAATAGCATATGGGAATAATGCGAGCAATAATCACTTGTTTCACAAGTTGTCAGATCCAGTGTAGTTTCCTTGATGCACCTGATGTTTGACTACAACTGAATTATTATGAGTTATTATCCCTGAGTAATTTGGTAGGAGCATTATTGAAATGTAACTATTTATAGAGTTTTGGTATGGGTAAATTGTTAAAAAATAATTGCTTAATCATATATGTAGCATTTACTGAAGGCCTGGTGTAAGCGAACATAGCATTAGTAGAGTGTCAATCATAGTTAATTAATTAAAACACCCAATCCCTTAATGAAGGTTATTCTAGAAAAATGTCATGCACATGAAATTGGTATCCTACTTTTTTTTACACATTTGTTTTTTTATGAATGTTAGCTAGTTGAATTTAAATATTTTAATTTTACTCTGATCTGTTTGTGAGCACAACATTTAACTATCAAATGGTGGTCAATAGTCCATATTCAAATTACCGATGTTTCCAATTATACAATTTTGTAAACAGAAAAAACACCTAAGTAGGACAAACTGTATCCTTGTCTTAGGCCATAGGGATAGTGGTGGTAAGAATAGTAAGTCCTTTAATCTTTTTTTATTTTAAACTTTTACACAAATAAGGGTCAGGTATTCATCATTCACCTTTTTCTTCCACTACTGGCAGTCATTGTGAAAATCATACAAAATTCCCTGACAAATTGTGACTTAATATGCTTTTAGAATTACTGTTAAGTGTTTATATCTGAGGAGTTCAAATTTGACATTTGAAAGGCCAAACATGTTTGTTAGAAATTATTTTCACATTTTTCTTGTCTTTGTTCAGATCTTTTTTTTAAAGATCAAATTTATGTGAGGGTATTCTCTTCAAATTTTAACTTAATCAGGGAAATACACCCCTGGTTAAAATTATCCCTTACAGTATCTCCCTTGGGGAAACTTGGAAAAGGGGGATAACTACCTTATGTATTTTATCATATTTATTCAAAATTTGAGTGTTTTTGAAAAGGAGCCATTGTGAAACCTGTAAGAATTTTTTTTAAATTGGTTTGCTGTGACCTATAACAACTTTAAAGTTTTTACACCCGGCTCTGAATTGTCAGATAGTCACATTAATTTGTAAATTTCAGGTAGAAATATGACTGATTACAATACTTAAGACACAGTTTGATTGATTGTCTTCAGCTCGCCATATGATTATCATAAATATATGCTTCTATCATCTTCATCACATATTTTCCACTGCATTTCCTCATAACATTTATCAATATATTCAGGACTGAACTGTTGACTTTGCAGTGATATATGAATTTCATGATATTCATGTGTAAATTTTTGTTGAATCATGATGTAAAAAACTTTTTGAGTCCATAGATCATGTCATTTGAATTTACATATATATTTATGTAAAAGCCAGTGAACCATAGAGATATATATTTTTCTGAAATCTGTAAATTTTGTGTAAATAAATGTATATTGTATATTAATAATTATTAGTCTTTGACTTTGACTGGACAGAAATATTCAAAATAGTCCTTTTCACTTATTTTAGGACGACATGTTTTGAAACAGTTGCATGTGCATGCTGAAATAAAAGTTTTCCTATGGCATGACCATTAATAATGTTTTGAGTTGCATGGATGTATAATTTATGTTTGTGGAACATATAAGTAATTTGTGTAAAAATTCATGATTTCTGAGAAATTATGCATAAATTTAAAGGGAAATAGTTTTATAGATTTTTTTTGCATTTGTAATATTTTTCAGTTTTCCAAATTTTAATGATACCAGTTTCAGAGAGTGCAATATTTCAATATTTTGGTAAATTAAGAATTTAAACTTTAAACTCATTTATGAATAACTTTACTTCAACGTCAGAATTGCTATGGGTTATTTTTGCTTTCATTTCTAAATACATGTAGATGTTTGTTTAGGGTCTGGTATTGTGTAAAATTGTGTATATAGTGTATATATGAGACAAGAAAGGCAGCTGGCCAGTTTGTATAAATCAGACTGGATATGATATACTATGTATATTTAATAAAATAATAAATAATTATTGGTGTTTCCTGTTTTCTCCTACATTAAAATTCAGCAGTCCTGATATTTCAAATGTTTCAGAATCTAAATTATGCCAATAAAAATAGTTATAGCAGATGCTACTGTTAGCATACGGTTCTTTAATGATGAGTAATCATAATGTGATAAGTACTATAATCTCGAAATTCCTTACCATATTCTAGTATAACAACCATGCATGATGACATTACTCAAAGAGAAATTTCTTAGCTTATCACTAGAAAAGAATGTCCTTATTGATTTGCACACAATATTTTATTGTGTGTGAGTCTTTTAAGGAAGACATATTGATTGTTGTTTCAAATAATATCATATACATGGATCATCTGGCCATGGCCTTATTTTCATGTATTTTTATGCCTCCACCTCAGGCATTATGTGTTACCCTTGTCCGTCTGTACTTCTGTCCATAAGTCCTTCGTCCCAAAATTAGTTTCTGTTATCTAACTTTATCAAAATAAGGAGATGAGGTATGATTGCCAATGAGACAACTGTCCACTTAAGTTCAAATAAAGTGGATGTAAGCAATTACATGTATAGGAAACCGTACAGCCTTCAACAATGAGAAAAACCCATACCCTATAGTCGGCTATAAAAGCTGAAAAATATGAAACAATTCAATTGAGAAAACTAATGGCCTAATTTATTACAAAACAACGAAAAATAAATATGACAGACATGAAGCAACGACAACCACTGAACTACAGGCTCCTGACTTGGGACAGGCACATAAAGAATGTGGCGGTGTTAAACATGTTTGTGAGCGGTCAATCCTCCCCCTAACCTGGGACAGTGGTGTAACAGCACAACATAAGAACAAACTGTAAAAATCAGTTGGAGAAAGGCTTAACTCATCAGATCGATATAAAGCAAAAAAACATCAAACATAAACACAAACCAGACGTGGCAGGGTATTTATCCATCCCTCATCCGTAACAACAAAAAGGACACTAAGTACACATCAGAGAGTACTCGCAGTTACTGACAGCTAGTTCAAAGCCAATAACAACAAATAAAAAATCATGTATCTAAGACTAAAACATCAATCGGTGCACATCCAACATCCAATGGATTTAGTATAAGACGTCATTAACAGTCAGAGAAAAACATGACCTTGTGCAATGCCGAGATAAAGGTATCGACAGATAGATTATAGTACCGTTAAAGTGCTTATGTGTATAACAAAACTATTTAGTATGATTTGATTAAGTGATAACAAAATCAATATTTATACCAATGAAACAATTTTCAAAGATCTAATTACAGTGTTGAATTGGTAACCTTTTAGAATAAGTTTATTTAAAGAATTGATAAGTTTACCCATATCGTATATAAATTTCCGGGCTCGGTAAACAACAT